TGACAAGAGTCAGCCTCGTGACCTTATCTGTGGAGGTTAATTCCCCTGTTCATGTAGTTATAATTCTTAGTCTCCAAGAAACTCAGAAATGTATCAAACCACCCAAACCCGACTATTCCTACAGAGTATGTGTATAAACTGTAGTCTATTTCATTAACCGATCACAGTGGCCGCGCGGTCTAAAGCATGAACCGTCTTCGTCTTTTTGAACCCTGGGATCGTGGGTTCCAATCCCACTCAAGTCATGGATGCCTGTGTATGCGTTTATTCTGTGTTTGTGTTGTTTTGTGTGTAGGTAGCGGCATTGCGAAGGTCTGAACCCCCATCCAAGGAGTCCTACCGACTGTATATAAATCAAGAAACTGAAAAAGCGGCTAAGGCCCAAGAAAGGGCTGTACAGTCCTTTGTAGATAGTATATTGCATTAAAATATACTATTTTTATTTCGGACATATTTCGTATAGTTACATGGACTTAGGTTGGAGGATAATTTTAAAACGGAATTTAGAGATCTATCTAAAACCATCAACAATAAATCTAAACCAATTCTATATGCAGATGACACTAGTATAATATTTAAGAACTCTAAATTTGAAAACTTTAAAAATGACATAAATATTGTATTTGAAGCCTTAAACAGATGGTTCGAAGCCAATTTACTCTCATTAAATTTTGATAAAACCCATTACATATCATTCACAACTAAAAACAACAACAACATTGATCTGGACATCAGTTATGCCAACAAATTAATCTGTAAAAATTCCTTGGAATACATGTAGACAGTACACTGTCTTGGAAAACTGTCTTGGAAAATACATATTGAACAAATTATACCTAAATTAAATGCAGCTTGCTATGCGATGAGATCAATTAAGCCTTTTATGTCACAGGAAACATTGAAGATGGTTTACCATGCCTACTTTCATTCTATTATGAACTATGGATTAATATTTTGGGGGAACTCTTCACATAGTGTAATAATTTTTAAAATACAAAAGAATATAATTAGAATCATTACAGGATGTAGAAGTAGAGATTCATGTAGAGAATTATTTAAGAAATTAAAAATTCTACCTCTTCAATCGCAATACATATTATCGCTTCTCTTATTTGTTGTTTACAACAAAGATAAATTCAAATTAAATTCTGATGTCTATAACATGAATACTAGACAAAAATATAACTTCCACCTACCCTCATCAACTTTATCAGTATATCAAAAAGGAGTCTACTTTACTGGCATAAAAGTGTTCAACAATCTGCCACAAAGTATTAAAAACTTGGGCAATGATACTAAAAAGTTTAAATCAGAGTTAAAGAATTATCTACATGCTCATTCCTTCTACTCTTTAGATGAATACTTCAATGTAAATAGAGAATGATGTAAAATTAAGTTATATTAATTTTTAAGCTAAAATTGCCTGTACTTATGTATGTAACCTTTTGACTTGTTCTGTATCCAAAGGTACTAACCTGCTTAGGATTTATAGAATATAAATAAATTCAATTCAATTCAATTCAATTCAGAGAGATAAGAGAGAACGGTATGGACTGGATGGATCTGGTTCAGGATAGGGACCAGCGGAGGGCTCTTGTGAACACGGTAATGAACCTTTGTTTCATAAAATGATGGAACATTCTTGGGTAGCTGAGTGACTCCATGAAGTTACTTAAGTTTTCAACATGATTTTTATTCAGTGATATAAGTCGGAAAAGTGTTGAACCAATGCACTGCAAAGCCTCTAATCTTCATTGTCTGTACCAACTGAACAACTTAAAACACTGTGCTTGCTGCAGGGTCTCTGACGTTTACCGGGTATGTCAAAAGTGAAGCTGATTATATAATAAATTAAAGTTAATCCACGAATATTATAATGTATTTAGAAACATGTGCACTTAAGTCTGGAACAGACGGTCTCGGTGTTATATAAGATTTCTGTATGTAAGAGCAAAACGCGGAATAATTCTACCCTCTCCTTTTAGTAACCTGCGAAGAGAATGTGTAAAAAAATGTGGGGTGGAGGGTAAAGCTGTCCCTGTATCAGGTATTGGCGCCAAGCCTCTCGAAACTCACGACCATAGATTTTCCATTTGCAACTGAACCTTTGCGGTCATAGTCCTCACGTAACAGTCTCTCTAACGAGAGGATGGGGTTGTTTCTTATGAATAGGCTTTGCCTTTTTCAAGTGTATTTACCGCACATATAGCCTGTTTTTTAAGATTCTTCTTTCTGCACTGTATTAAAGTTCTCTGTCAGTCTAGACTTTGGAAAGTAGATCATGCTTATCTCACGTATCTAACTCTACAACGGCAGCTTAGTCACTTGGGCGGCCGCAAGCTTGACAACCGCCAAGTTTAAACCTCTTATATTTTCTGTCTGTTCTCGGCTTGTTTTATGCTGCTAACATGTTCATTCTCATGATTCTGCATGATTCTGCTCGTTGCCTGCACAATTTAGTCTTATAATCGTATACACACGAAAGGTTGAAAGCCATATGCAAATCACGAACCGGAGTGCACCTTGGGAAATTTCCAGCGGTGCGGAGAACCTTCTTTTGCAGGCGCTGCCTTTTTAAGAGCTAGGTGTCTGCCGCTAATTCCCAGACGGGGCAAGCATAAGTCATTACTGATCTGATCAGTGTCTTATGGAGGGTTAGTTTAATGTTTGCGCTTAAACGCTCACTTTTGGATAGGGAGTAGATTCTAATAAATGCTCTGAAGGCCTTGGCTTCAGTCATTTCTATGTGCATTCATCACCATGAAAACCTCAACTTATACAGCTCTTACGTACATTACCGTGTTCACGGCTACTGTCGACTGAACCTGGATAGCTCAGACGATATAGTGATTATGATACGAGCTGAACGACTTAAGAATCGGGGTTCCAGTCCTTGTAGGAATAACGTCCAGACAGGTTCTGGGGTCCACTCAGCCTCCCATAGAATGGGCACCGAGGACAAATTTCCACGGAGTAAAGTGATGGGGGCGTGAAGCTGACCACTCACCCTCATCTAATGCGGAAATTAAGAATGTTGGAGCTATACCTCAATTCCCCCATACGTCTACATGACATAATACTAAATTAGTAAAGCCCAGGGATAAGTTTATCTTACCTTCACGGTTCTCATAGGCATCTGCCACTGGGACTTATCCCGAATCACCTGAATGTAACACATTCTCATTTTTTTGTCCAATTTGATCGTTTAAGTCTCCGAAACGCAATAGACATGTTAATTACATGGCTATCTGTATGTCGGAAACTGTCTCGTGGGATAGAGATTCTACAATTGTGTCATTTCTTACTAGTTCACCTCTTATTACAAGGTTGAATCGGTTAAGTGCGTCTCTTGAACATCTCTTGAAACTGCAAATATCGCCTCCATATGTTGCACACCATTTTTATTAACGTGGCTCAGGAGACCGTGTCATGCCGTTATAATCATACGTAGTCTATGGAGCAGATCGCACTCCCTAATTTTAGTTGACCGAATCATACTATGCTGGACATTACCATCTTCCAGTTTGAGGATTTATGTACGTATAATCATGACATCCGAAGTGAACGGAGAAGTTCATGGAGGTAGGCCTAGGCCCACTGGAGCTGTAGTACCAAGGAAAAAAATAATCACGATATAATCCCAGAATACAGTATCATAACTAACGTGTCTGGTGTTTAGAATATGTCATTATGAAAATACATTCTGTGCTCATGTATCTAATTTCTCTCATTTGACATTAATCGCCATAAATACGTTGATTTTAAACCAAACAGTAAATAAATATGATTGCGTTTGTAAAGGATAGGCCGTTGTGACATAAACCACGGTTTGTGACACAATGGGGGACCTTATCTTGTTCGTCTCCAATTTGCTGTCTTATTGCAAATCCCGCTCTGTAATGCCGACACAGCTCTCCAACGAAGAGATTGTAGAAATGGTTCATTTCTTTTTTTCTTCCTTGGCACTACAGCCCCAGTGGGCCTAGGCCTGCCTCCATGAACATCTCCGTTCACTTCGGTTTTTCTAGATCTTACACATTCGGTAGGACTACTTGGGCGAGTGATCAGCTCGTCACAAGGCCTCTACCTGTAGACAAACACAGAAAAACGCACACAAACATCCATGCCCTGAGTAGGATTCGAACCCACGATCTCGGCTTCCGAGCGAGCGAAGACAGTGCATGCCTTAGTCCGTTCGGCTACCGTGACCAGCTCATTTCTTATTAGCTTCTAATATAAAAATTAATTCTTAAATACTCGTAAATACGTATAAGATAATTCTGATTTCATAATATATTTAACTTTACCGTTTGCATAATATGCAAATATCACATGGCTACATTTAATTGATACGAAATACGCAGACAGGACTTCCATTTCGTGACCACGTTACTAGTGCTGCTTTACACTCAGACTTATCTGTCATTTACCAGTATGCTGGCAGCCGAAAGTTTTATTTGATGCAAATTGTCACGCAGCCCCCCCCCCAACTCCTAATATTACAATGCCAAAGATAAAATATGTACTTAGAGACATCTATTGGCGCACATGCAAACTGTCAGGCAATGGCTGAACAATCGATCATGCACACCTATGTAAATTACACAATTTCACATTGAGACCCCATAACAAACGAGGTAGTAATTTAATAGCCAGTTCTCCTGAAACAATTATTTATATAAACATGAACCATCGAAATCCTCAGTGTTGTCGTATATGTATGTACATTGTCATGACATTATCCTGTACAGGTGGTCTTTATTTATATGCCAGGTGGAAATAACGTTAGGGGATGTGGTCCATATGGGTTTAACCTGTACGCCAGTTATTACAGTTTCTGTATCATGGTAAGGGCGATATGATACCTTCAGGTTAAATGAAAGATGTCATATTCTAAGAAGTATTTCAAAGCTAAATGAAAGAAACGTATTTTCTGACATTAAAACCTGTTTCTGGTGAGAAAAATACAGCATGCAGAAAAGCAACATAATTATTAATACCTTTGCACCCACTGCGATGCAAGCAAATCGGTTTCTTTCTTCCCGCAAACACCGCAGATATAAATATATTTGTACTGAGATGTTAACCAATCAGTAAAATCGTAATGGCAGGTGAAATACGGGGGGGCTAGCTGCAGGAAATAATTGTCAAAATAAATTCACAGAGAAGGAGGAAACAAAGGTTTCACTACCGAAGAAGAGAGTAAATGGAAATTATTTTTTTTGTGGGGGGGCTTTAAATCAGTTTGTTATTAGGCAGCAGCCCCCCCTTCTGAGCAGAATCGGCAGTACAGCAACACCACTATTGCACCAAACACCACCACCACTATTACACAACACCAACACCAGCGACGAGCGCTACGAATATACGTCCCACTTCCCCCTAAAAATGAGAAATAGATTTCTGTTATTGTTTTGTTAAACACTCTTGTTACTTTTCTTCAAAGGGAGGGGGAAGTTTAAAGTATATACGACGGCCAAGACGTCGTTTCTTGAACTGTCTCTTCCCCTAGACTGCAGCAACCCGCCTAGGTCGGCATTGCAGCAACCAAGAGTGGGGGGATGGAAAAGAGAACTCAATAACACCCCTGTCCTACCCCCGCCTTTTCTACCCAACCAATTCCCCCCCGCACCCTTCCATTGTAGAGCTAATATGCGATACTTTTGCCATCTGTTGAGTAGCGTATCAACTTCATTCACCCTTATTCAGTGCATAAGGCTTTAAGAGTAGACTCAAATCATATGAACTAGTACAGGCATGTCAAACTCAACTTGTACCGAGGGCCACCTCAGCCCTATAAATAGTAGTCCAGGACCGCACTTCAAAATAGAAATATATATTAGATTTTGATACAAGGAAATTTAATTCTATTTATTATTTAGGAATAATTTCAATATAATTACCCAAAGTCACATATCTTACAGTTTTAAAAAGCAAGAGAATGACATTTTTGACAAGTATCAAACAACTTTTCAATATGTAAAAAGAGAGATTACACAAAAAAATTATGTTAGAAATAACAAAACATTGAATTTCCTGCAGCCTGCTAATTTATGTCTGCGTGAGACTTCTTGTCTTCTGGTCTGTTCGAAAATTGTCTTTACAAAAAAATATTTCTACTAAAATTTTAATATTGATTTTAATATCAATTAGCTCTAAAAGTTGAGGGGCCGCACTTTGTGGCTATGGGGGCCGCATGTTTGACACGGCTGAACTAGTACATACACAGAGGTTTCACGATTACTTGCACATCACGAGTGCAGCCACCAATTTTCTTTCCGGGGGACGGACAGCAAATATACTTACAAACTTGCATTTAAGCCGTTTAAGGATACTTCTGCAGATCTACCTAGAATTACGAGTCCTGTATTAAAGCATGGATGACGGTAAAGGTAAAAAGGTAAAGTTGTCCCTGTGCTTAACTAATTAAGCATTATATCACGAAGGCGTATGGGGGAGTGGCTGTATAAATCCACATTTTCATGACCTAGGCACTAGCCGGAGGTGAGTGGTCAGCTTCACGCCCCTGGCGTTTTACGCCCGGGTGAAGTGCCCCCAGTACCCACTGGATAGGAGGTTGGGTGGGCCCCAGAGCCGGTCTGGACGGCTTGGAAAAGAGAAAATTCTTGACCATACAGGGACTCGAAATCCGACCCCTCGGTCGTCCAGCCCGTAGCCAGTCGCTATAACGGCTACGCTATCCCGGCTCCTAAAACATGGAAGCATGGATGGCGGCACATTAAAAACATAATTTTAATTTTTGGTATTCGATATACTTCCTTATTTCTTCAGTTCTGTTTTTTTCAAGCTTTCTCATGTGGGGGGACAGGTGTTTGGCTTGAGATTTCGGGAGGACCTAAGACACGATAAAGATGATGCCCCTGTTTTTCTGTTTAAAGGAGAAGAGTGAAATATATGTTCAAGCAATGGCGGATTTGAGGTTCACGGGGTCATACGCGGAAGGACAATTTGGAGTCCTATATGGTGCAGCTGAAATAATTTTCACAATTATGAAAACATTGAAACCATCACTGAAAAATATTATTATTATAGGGAACCATGATATGTATGCAATGGCAGTCTTGTAGTGCACTCAAATTTCACCTGTTAGTTCACGACATGTTTCGGCAAACATAGTGACATCCTCAGGTGCTTTATTTACGCTAAGCTATTGCATTGTTTGCCATCATATGTCTTTGTAAAATTATTTTAAAAAGTATTTAAAAAGTACATTATTCGTCAAGTATAATAAATTTTATACAGTAAAACTGAAGATTATTCATCTTATGTGTCCTAATTCAAACTCGCGTATAGTTGATTACAACACTCGCAGCCAAAAAGGGAGCACACATCAGAAGACATGGTATACACAGAATATAAGAAATTGGACTCCCATAGTGGAAGAACCATACAATACGCGATTTTGAATTAGGACACATAAGATGAATAATCTTAACAAGTTTTAGTATATAAAATTTATTATACTTGACGAATAATGTACTTTTTAAATAATTTTACAAAGACATATGATGGCAAACAATGCAATAGCTTAGCGTAAATAAAGCATCTGAGGATGTCACTATGTTGCCGAAACATGTCGTGAAGTAACAGGTGAAATTGAGTGCACTACAAGACTGCCATTGCATACATATCATGGATGAAAATCAGTGCAACAGGACGCTAAAATACAACTTTATAGGGAACTACAAAAATCTTTAAAACAAGCAGCTCTCACTCAAATGGAACAATAATAAACAGAAAATGTTGCCTTGAGCGAGACTTACTGATTCAGTTATGACTTCATCCCATTCTTTAAACTCAAAATATGTTCATCATCGAAGGACACAAGAAACTTCAGGACTTCCTTGAATTAATTTTACACTGCTTTTCAAAAGTCTAAATTACACCGTCATAATTTACAGTTTATAACAATAGCAACAATATACATACAGATTTTTATTTGTTCTAGATATCCTACGGAGTCGGGATGGCTCAGTCGATATAGCGACGGACTATGAATTAGACGGCCGGGGTTCGATTTACTGCAGAGGCAATACTTTTTCTTCTCCATGGCATCTAGACCAGTTCTGCAGTCCACCCTAACTCTTCTCCACTGGAACCGAAGACAATTTTCTCGAAAGTAAATCGGCCAGTGCATGAAGCTGACCACTCACCTCCATCTAGTGCCGAGGTCAACCTATATCTCCGTTTTCCTATATTTCTTCATCACATAGTGCATAATTAATTAATTGACTAATCAAGCATAGGGACGACTTTACCTTTTTACCTAGTTATTATAGATATGTCAATTGTATCACATAAAATAATTACCAGCTGGAGAAAAATGCACGCACTGCATTATTTAGGGCTTGCTTGTATTTAACAATGCTGACGGCAACGTAAGCAAGGATACGGGTTCTTCTTCCCGAAAGTGCAGCCGCACATGTAACGGGCGCATCCCTAGCACTGTCATAAACTCTGACCCATATCCAGTAATTAAATAATCCTGACCTAGAAGAAAAAAAGAAGCGAGTTCACTATTCTTGAAACATACCGCCGAAAACAGCAGATCACTCAAGCCGCCAACAGTCACGCCGAAATCCGTAACAATACGATGAGGGTAGTTTCATTAAACATAACAATTGTAACAATGTTCCAAAATTGCCTAATCTTAAGACATCTTGACTACATGGCTAATGCTATCCGAACTGTTTTTATGGAATTTACAAGGTAAATAATTATATAAAGAATTCCATTATCTGGTAATGAGGAGCTTCATAACTTGTACTCTTCTCCAAGCATAATTAGAACGAGAAAGTCAAGCAGGATGAGATGGGCAGAGCATGTAGCACGAATGGGGGATAGGAGGAACGCATATAGGATATTGGTGGGAAAGCCGGAAGAAAGGAGGCCACTGGGAAGGCCAAGGCATAGGTGGGTGGACAATATTAAAATGAATCTTAGAGAGATAGGATGGGATAGATTGGATTGACCTGGCTCAGGATAGGGACCAGTTGAAGGCTCTTGTGAACACGGTAACGAAAATTCGGGTCCCATAGAATGCTAGGAAGTTCTTGAGTATCTGTACAATTGGCAGCTTGTCAAGAAGGGCTCAGCTCCACGAGTGGCCGAAATTTCATCTTTTCATCATTCCATCAGTTGATAATTCATTAATGGAGTATTCTCATAAGTTTTACGCGTACCACTTTCACTGCTTCTCCAACCACCTCTGTGCATGTCACCTAGTTTGGGAACTATTTCATTAAGCGATAACAAATGGTAAACGTTCTAAGTTCACAGAACAATTTCGGGGCCCTTCGGAAGACAGTCGCTTGGTCCGATTACCGGTTAATCCGCTTCTGTGTTCAAGTAAGCGAAAGTACACAAATATGTAGAAACAATTAGTTGCTTGGCAAGGCACTTGGTAGCATCTTCAAGACCACGCCGGTTCTCAGTTTCTCTTCGACTGAAGCGGTTTCTGTGTGCTGTTACCACTGCTCCAATTTGCCGAATTGCAGTCAACCTTTCGTTAACTTCCTAATTTTACAGGTTTATTTTTTGTTTACTTCGAGGTAATTTTTCCCCGGTGTTTGGAAGCCCGTCACATTGAACTCTGTACTGCTGGCTTGCACTCCGCCCTACCCGCGCCCATTATTCGTACATATACTTATTTTGTAAGTAATATGTATGTAAACGAGAAAAAAATTCTCGTTTTGAAACCTCCTATATTATACCATATACTTAATTTCTCTTTACGAAATCACCGTGGGCCTAACTATGACATTAGATTATATATATTTCCCCTCCCCCTTGGCACTACAGCCCCAGTGGGCCTAGGCCTACCTCCATGAACTTCCCCGTTCACTTCGGTTTTTCTAAATCTTACACATTCGGTAGGACTCCTTGGGCGGGTGATCAGCTCGTCGCAAGGCCTCTACGTGTAGACAAACACAGAAAAACGCACACAAACATCCATGCCCTCAGTGGCATTGGAACCCACGATCTCGGCTTCCGAGCGAGCGAGGACAGTGCATGCCTTAGACCGCTCGGCTACCGTGACCGGCAGATTATAATTATCAATTAAAGTCTTCACCAATTATTACTAAAAGTAAATTTATCCTTGGGCTTAATTAAATACCAAACCATGAACACATATGGGGGAGTGGAGGTATAGATCCACCATTCTTTACCTCGGCACTAGATAGAGGTTAGCGGTCAGATTAACGCACCGACCTCTTTACCCCCAGGGAAAGAGCCCCCGGTACCCATTGGATAAGAGGCCAGGTGGGCCCTAGATTCGATCTGGATGACGTGGAGTACAGAAAATTTCTTGCACATTCTGGAAATCGAACCCCAGCCGGTCAGCCCGTCGCTATAGTGACTGAGGTATCCTGGCTCATGGAGCGATTAAATGAAGGATGATGAGATGGTCGGGGCATGTAGCACATATAGGAGACATAATATATACATACAAATTTGTGGTTGGGAAGTCTCAAGGGAAGAGATGACACAGACGACATAGGTGCAGACAAGAGAATGATATTAAACTAGATCTTAGGTCAATAGGGTGAGAGTTTGTAGGTTGGACTGTCTGGGTCAGGATAGGGCAAGTGTAGGGCTGTCTTGAACACAGTAATGAACCTCGGGTTCCAAACATGTAAGAAATTTCTTGCCTCAGATAATGGCTGTTAGCTTCTGAAGGACTCAGTTCCAAGGAATTGTGCTTTGTCTGTTGTCTCTGAACAGTGCTCTAAATTGCCTCAAAATGCTTGTGAATTGCATGATATCACAGGTTCAACTGAATGACGGTACCTTTACAACTGCAAAGAATGCTTCTGATGCTACAAAATCCCCTGAAGTCTAAATGTTTTTTTCAATACATTATTTAGTTCCATCTTTGTGGTATTAGCGGTATCAAACTGAGATGTTTGCTTCTCAAAATTCATGAAAAGTCTGTTTGCATTTTTAGTTGTTACATAAAATAAGTCCAAAAAAAATATATAATTTATATTTGTTACTGATAGAGACTGCAATATTCTGGTTGCTCCAGAGCCCCCACCCTCACAGCTGCAAATCAAGCCATGAGCATTTAATTCCCTACAATGTCGTAATTTCACACAAAGTTGGGTACAACAGCCCTTACAAGCGATCTCCAGGCTAAATTGACCTGAACTGTTATGTATTTTGGAACATTATTAATGCTATCAAACACACCTGAAAAAAAAAAACATAACAATGTGTGTCTGAAAGTCAGATTGCTTCATATATGACTTTGAGAGCTACGTTTTTATATTTTAAAATTTTTTTTGTATAAAATTATGTGTTAAACCGTGTCCATTATGATTATAAATGGTAGGTCATTCTGACAATGTAAATCATGACAGTGCAGTGGATTTGGAAAAGGAATACGGATAATTAAATTTACAGGCAATAGCGAATAAAATGCCGAAATTTCTTGAAAACTGAAACTTCCCATACTATGTTTGTGGCCTCTCAGAAAAAATACCAGACTACCAGCTTAATGCGCCCCATTTAACCTTCCTTTCTCTCCTCCTAACAAATACTCTATACCAGCTCTGGCCCACTACCTGCTGACCATTCCATCAGACCCTTCCCCTCCCCCTCTCTACTATTTCCCTATGTAGCCACACTCCTTCTCTTATACAGCTGTGTTTATGCGACTGGACTCAGTCTGTTGCAACTGCTCTGCTGGTTCACTCACAGATTTCTTCTTGTCTTCTACCCTGAAGATGGCTTTCTTCATAGTCACTGCTGTGAAAACCTCAAATCTTACAGAATATGCCTGCTTCCACTCAAAATAGCCTGGTCAGATATGAACCTCTGAGGACTTCCTATCACATGCCTCAAGAGAGCTGACAGATGGAAACACGAAGTGAAAGAACTTCCTCAGTGCCACTTTGTCCACCATAAATCTCACGTGGACTGCCCTAGGTTTGAATCTAAGCTACCACAGTGAAGAATTGACTTTTAGTTCCTTGAACTTTGACAAAGTCTCACATTTTATATTCATATATGAGTATAGACCACACTATTCACTGATGCTAGTTGGTCATCCACCTACTGAAACCGTTATCAGGTGACACTGGTGGTCACTAACATATGTTTCCAAAAAATGTGATTTTTGATTATTCAGCCTCTTGGTGAACAAATCTGCAGAATGCAATAATGTTATCCTGATCTAATCTAATTAACACTCGACTAAACAGCTTTGGAATCATAAGGAATATACCTGGAAGCTTTGTAAGACAGAAAGAAATACTACAACTTTTCTACTGTTTTATCAAATTGAATATTAATTTTCATTGTCACAAGTTCTCTACACATTTATAAGTTTTATACATATAAATGGAATGCAGTGTGGGTTCAGAATAGAAAATGAATTTCTCAGAAGTACAGAATATCTCAACTTAATTCAGACTATGTAAAATAATGTAATTACATGAATGTAGTATCACTAATACACATTATAGGTATTACTTTTCTTCCTACCAAAGGTGCTAAATGTCTGGATATCATTTGTTTGAATCTTTGACAAATTTCTCTCAACAGCATTTATTACTAGTATTCAGTTATTCAGTATAGAGGGGGTGGGTTTCCCCATGCACCGTGACTAATAGCCATAGTCTATTGTACGTCCCCTTTTAATTTCTACTGTTGCCATACCCTACTGATACTGGTACCCGCTATCTCCCCTTTCTGCCAGCGAGGTCGGCCCTCTAGTGGCATTGGTACCCGATAACATTCCCCATCTACCGGAGGCATTGGAAACTACTTGGGTGGGAAACATTTTGCCTAATTTTGCTCAGAGGTCTCCTAGACACATGAGGATCTTTTACGTGCTGTAAATCTACAACACGGGATCCACGGCTTAAAGTCCCTCCCGGAGGACTTGTTCCCTGAATTTTCCCGCCCTTAAAAATTCCATGACCTCTGCCGGATTTGAACCCGCGTACCTTGAGTCACGAGGTATTTATTACTAGTACCTAGATTGTCATTTTCATATTAGCAGTGATTAAAAAAATGATCTCCTGTTGCCAAGTCTTTCAGAGAAATTTTCAAAACCAAAATTTTCTTTAGGTCATAGTTGATGTCACACTAAATCTGTGAAAAAATAATCTCAAAATCTAGATACTACTAAATTATCTTCAGCTTGCATGCAGGGGAGTATGATTAATTAAACACAATCTGTCCAAATTTTTTATTAATTTGTCTGCCATCCCACTACTTTATTTCATAACTATTCCTGCAAATATATTTACTTTGGTAGGTAAAAGTTCACATTCACACAAGAACTTGAACAGACTACTGTCACAAATACATAATTATTAAGGTATGTTCAAAATTATCACTCCAAACTATAACTCTACCTATATTTGATATCAAATTATATAACACAAATTTGGTGTTGTGTGTTGATGATTCACTATCTATGGAAAGGTATTTTGCTATGGACCCAAACAATGAACATATCAACTATTGTCATTAGAGAGATTCAAAAGTCTTATAAGAAAGTTCACATCAGATAAGGGTGGCTATTTTTCAAAAAGAGTTTGTCACACTAAATGTAATACAAAGTATTTATTTAGCAGATTTTCACAAATGCTGATACATCTTTTATTCAACGAACATTCTTAATTTTTGCCATCAAGTGAAAATGGCAGTCCTCAATGGATGATGTGATGTGAAAATATAATTTTATCTTGGATCAAGTTAAAAAGTCCAATTCCATCAAAATCTGTATCTGAGATGGATTTTCAAGAGCCTGAATTTGGGGTGAAAGAGTGGGAGACAAAAGTAACCGATCTGTGTCAAAATTTCCTCATAATTATTCAATAGCATTCGGTAAGACCTACCATTATTCAATTTAATACAACTCCATTCATTCAGAATGAAATTCTGTATATGGACACTGAGAGCTGGGACTTCCCACAAAACATCAAATTTAAACTTCAACAGAAGAAAAAATCACCTAATTTTTCTTCTGTGCAAGATTAATGAGTATATCTAAACAAATTTCTGGCAAAATATTACAGAGCAGGTAATCGTAACCTCCAACAGATATTGTAGAGACAAATGAAGCATGAGAAAAGAATCAATACTCAGAAAAATGAATATGTCTCACAATACACAGGTAATTTTTTTTTAAATATGTTCAAAAACGGTTTATTATGTGTTTGCACGTAAGATCAAAGTTGACTTATGAAACTCAGACAACATTTAAATATGTGAAAAACTCCTAGTTTTCTGAGACTATCATGAACCAGCAAATACTGGGGTTGGTTAATGATTTGTGATAGCAAATAAATTTGTAGTAATAATTAGAATTCAAACATGCATGTCATATAGTAATATCAGCATTATGTTAACTGCAAGTTTCCAGTGTGTAAGGAGAAACTTTGGAATCACAGCAGTCACACAAGAATCACAGGAACTCACTTTTACATGTATATTAAATATTATTTCATTTCTTCTCCAGCATGGAGGGTATGTTGTTCTCCCAAATTTTTCTTCTAAATTTCAAAAGTGGTGCACTACAGAATATAACAAATATTTAGAGGAATCTTACATTTAAGATATTTATGCTGAGCTATGCTGTTAATATTAAATATTCATCAAAATCAGCACATTCAGAGTACAGATCAAACAAATACTGCGATTTCAAATTGACCATCTCTACTGTCCTTGGTAGTAGGTAGAAGTATCCATAGGTTCCTCACTGGGAATAGCTTGCTGTCATTTGGGGCTGTCAATTACTGCATTAGCAAGCTTTGACATCTTTGGGTATTTAATTTTCTTCTTATCAAGCTCATCCTGAGCCCACAAAATTAGTTTCAAAAGATTTGACAACTTAGGAGTAGTTGATTCCCTATTCTCCATCTTTAATATTGCTGCATTTAGTTCACTAGCCACCTGTAACAATATTTAAAGTCGCAAATTTTTAGTGGTTTCAGATCCTCATGTTGGAAGTTTTCAACAGAACATCAATAAGTAAAAATTAATTACTGTTAGTCTTTCAGTTCAGATGAATTGCAGCACAATGAAAATCACTGTTATTTCAACATGATAAAAATTATACAAAATAATACTAACTATTATACTCATGAACACGTGTTTTAAAACAACTCATAAATAATAATTATACATTTCTTTACATTATATTGCCTTAATGCTGGGTTTCATTTTAAAATTCATACTTTGCGAACGAACTATTTATGGTATGCTACATCCTACAAGTCATCACAGCCTCACAATAACATAAATAGATACTATATTATTTAATTATTGCATTTCAAAAACAAATATTAACCTTTTGTCGATGTGTGGGATGCAACAAGTCCTTGAATGGGCACTTCTTTGGTTCTTCAAATGCTAGCAAGGCCAAAGTTCGCTCCAATTCATTCAAGACAGTTGGATCCGATTCACCAGCTTCAGACAATTGTTCTTGTGCAAAATGTAAAGCTTCCTCAATTTCCCCATTGCGAATCAACTCTATTAAATGCAACTGCTGTAAATATAAATACTAGTAGTTACAATAGGATTCTGACGATGGTGTATAACACATAGAGATACTGGGTTTTCAGACTTTATCCATCATCCTGGTTTTTAAGATAACTAAGAAAAAACACGACATTTCGGAAACTGGATCTGTTTCCGTCCTCAGGTAAGGGAAAACACCTAAATACTATTTAATATGTATAACAACTTTTTAAGGATTTAAACCTACTTCCACTACCTTGTATGTACACATTTGGAATAGTATGCCATGTTAAACTACATTTAGAAAAGTTAGAACAAAATAACATAGTTCATAATCACAATACACACCAGAAGTTAAATCTCCATGCTCAGTTTTGCAGAACAAATGACTATAAGAAAGGAGTACTGAATATGGGAATAAAATTATACAATAAAATACCAAATAAAATCAGGGAGATAGAAAAAATGAGATAGTTTAAAAAAGTAATGAGGTTATATCTGGTACAACATACGTTTTATTCTGTAGAGGAATATATGTTAAATTAAAAATGGTATGTTTGTGAAAGGGGGGTATTTATTTGTAATTATAGAAATTGAACTATTGTGTGTTTAATATGTATGGAACGTTTTCCTATGACAGTGATTTGACAAGGAAGGAAGAATGGATTGATTGATTGATTGATTGATTGACTGATTGATTGATTGATTGATGTGAAATGGATTGAATTGCTTACTCTGTTGGGGAACTTATGTTGTCTTAAATTTTTAATATAGTTTTATATGGTATGTTAGACATGTACACAATTTGTGTATGTAGTTGAATATTAAATTATAGTATTACTGACTTTTATACAAATAATTTGACTTGTTCTATATCGGGAGGCTGTATTGCAAAATGTGGATTTCTGGAACCAATAAAAATGAATGAATGAAGATTATTAACCTCTATTAGTTGAGAAGGACAAATACAAAACAGCATGTAGAGGAAATATAGGCATGTCAGCTACAAAGGTTATTTCCATTAAAGCAGGCATCTAAAGTTGTGGAAAACATGTCTGTCAAAATAATTTGTAAGCAAAAGCGGTATCATATTGAAAGATAAATTAAATGGCAAGAGGCTGGTTATCAGTTTCAAGATATGTCATTCTTCTTTCCCCAGCCTTAAGTCTGCTAACAGGATCACTATTTGTGACGCGGATGATTACTACTATAATAGGTTTTTATACTTTTACTTCACCATGGATATTTCTTTTCATTTTAAATTTTGTTATACAATTTTTGTTGTTATTTAACAAAATGTTATACATTTTGATACACTAAAACTGAATATAATTCCAACTTCAGGTACAGACATTTAAAACAATAACTCATAAGTACTTTCCATTGGTCCCCAAGTAATTTTCTTTTAAGTGTTGAAGGGTTTTCTTGTAAGTGCCACAAAATCCTAACAAAAAACTCCATAGCCTGTAATCCGCAATCAAACTATACCAACCAAGCGACCGCTGCTTGTCAGTGAAGTTAGTGCCAACTTTAGCAGATATAAGGTGTCGCGTGGTCAGCACAACAGATCCCCTCAGCTGTTAATTTTGGTTTTCTAGACAAGAGCAGCTATTTCCTTGAAATAGCTCCTCAATTATCCTCATGAGCTGAGTGGACCCCATTCCCGACCCACTACTTCTCAAAGACTCTGATAGTGCCAGGAATTGAACCCAGACCTCTGGATCTGTAGGCAGGAACTCTGACCACTAGACCACAGAGGTGGTCACAAAAAGATAACAGGACAATAATATTAGGTAAGATAGTATAAACATCACCCCAACACCTGCTGACCATTAGTGTCTTACACACCTTATGACAGTAAAAATATTCTCCTTCTCATACAAATAAACATCAAACATTCCCAGCTTATTAAGGCTTCTAGTATCATGTCTGTGTGTCTGCTCCTCCCTTAACTAACTTCTGAATCAACTGATGGACTTTCATATAAACATGATGCCACTACACGTCACTGTGCTGTATTATTTTCTATATTCCCATTATCAATAATACCAACATGACAAACAAAAAAAAACTCTGTGGTCTGTAGTCCGCAAGCGAACTATACCGACTGAGCAACTGCCACTTGTCGGCAAAGTATACCAACATGACGGCTGTGCAAATTTAAGCATGAATTACACCTAATGCAAGTCTTTGATATTTTGTATTATAAACTCAATGAGTATTTGCAGAGCTAGAAGCTGTTCTGGTAATCAAGAAACCGTCTGCTTTTTCGTGGGACACAACAGTTTATTATTATGCTGATAAGAACCGATCTCTGGGCTGTTCTTGCATAAATATAAACTAGTTCACCCATACGATCAATTGTCAAGAAATCTTACATTAAAAAATCCTGCTTTTTATTTCTAACTATATACTATACATGTTTTGACAGTAAATGATTGCCATCAGGTGACATTAATCAGCCAAATATCTAGACTACAAGCACAAATTTGATGAAACATGTGAATATATAAAAAATGTGGATAAAAGAATAATAAATTGGGTCTGATATGAACCAACTTTACAAGGATATGAATATAAAACTCACAGTATTTGTCTAAAGAGAACTATTCTCTGCTTGTGAGTTTATTACATGTTATGAAGTTTCAGCCTTTTTTACTATATAATTTGGCACTTCATGCTCTTATATTACATGTTCATTTTCCTGTATACAACTTTTCTTAGTGATTCTAAGTTAAATTATAATTTTATATCATAAGTAAAGGTAAACCTCTCCCTGTAACAGGTCCTGGAGTCCCATAGGGTTGTGAGAAGTTGAGGGTCCCACCTTTTCTAGGCAATTGGCTCACAGATTGTGGTTAGGTTGTCAGCCTTAGTTGCTGGCCGCCCTTTACCCCCAGGACGATTCCTGGCACTCATTTATGTCAGAGGCTGAGTTGAACCCTGGGCCACAGTGCAGCTGGAAGTATTGGGTCAATTTAAAAATCCAATAACTTCACTGGGAATCAAAACTGGATCCTTCTGGCTTCTGACATAGAGCCTCAACCAAATACGCTACCATGACTCTATGCCATCCAAACTGGCTCTGGGGTCACCCCGGCTCCTTCCCCATGGGTAAATCGGCTGGATTGTGAAGCTGACTACTCACCTCCAACTAGTGCCAAGGCTAAGAAAACATGCATCTATACATCCACTCCCCCATACATTTTCATTGTCTAGTATTTAATTAGTTAAGCATAGGGACAACTTTACCTTTACCTTACCTAATTGCATTTATGAAATGAACAAATTTCATGAGTTAACTGCATTACCTGCAAATGAAAATACAGGTAACGATCATTGTCCAGCAATTCAGGATGAAGCTGATTGACCAATGCTGTAGCTTCTTGGATGCGGCCACTCTGAATTGCATCCCTTATTCGAATTCTGTCATCTAAAGAATCCAGCTCCATTGATGGACTAATCCCAGATTCTTGCTGAAACTTCTCTGCTGCTTCCTTGAAGCCCTCTGGTTGATGAAATAAATCTTCATACAATTGTACAATTTGCACAGTAGTTCAATCTTGATCCTGCTTTTAAATGTTGGCACAATATGGAAGTGGACTCCATTGCCACCCCAAAACAGGATCAGCATCAGAAATTATGCTTTCTCTTAAGCTTTGAACTTGGATACTATGCACTGCATTAGATGTAACCAGCAAGGGGTGTACTTTTGTACTATAGTGATCAATTACCTTAAGTGCAATTTATTTGTACTTTAGCTAGCAGCAGTAAAGCAAACCAATTCAGTGATAGGTTATGAAGCTTAATAACGTTTCAAAAGGTATGTTATGAAAGTAGCAGTTAATAAAACCCTTATTCTGATACGATTTGAAGTGCTCTCATATTGCAAAGTTATTCCAAGTCCAGCTATAGAATCGAGAAACAATAACAAATTAATAAATACAGAATTCTGACTACATTCTATCATTTCTAAAAATCTGTATTAATTTGCTTACCAGTAACTAAATAATTCATTATAAGTTTGTTCATGTCAGCTCGTTGTATGTGCAAACCTTCCAGCCGATTCATCCAATCTTCCTTCGAAATATTTTCGTGTTTCTCAGTATAACTCATATTGTGTCCTTTTCAAAATCGTTTGTTTTCTAACCTGCTATTCAAGTCTTCTGCTGAAAAAGTGAAGTAATGATTAACAGTCAAGGACACTACTTCGTATCTTTACTTCAAACTCATTTCGTAGTTAAATTTGAACATCCGCCCCTCTTTTCTTGGATATTTTACTCAGCAGGTCATATAATAAGTATTAATGGTATTTTCAGGGGAAAAAAAAATCCGTAACAATTACTACTTCGCAGCAAATTTATTTTGATTGTTTTAATATGACAGCTGATTGTCACTTGATTCAGAAATGTATCCCACACAGTTACCAAATTTCACCTCGCTTTTAACCACAGAATGAGCCTGATTTAATTCTTGAAGACGTTCAAGTAAAAATCAAATCGTCTTTTAATGTTGCTTATTGTATTAATTAGATGATGCGAATTTTGTAATTTTCGTCCATAATATTGCCGTCAAATACTATTAAGCTGTGTATATCTCATAATTAGAAAGAACAACGATATTACCAGTATGCTGTATGAGGTATATACTTGAATCCAGTAGCTCTCAGTCACAAAAATGGCTGCATGGAAATGTTTAAGAAGTGACCACTAGTCGGTAGAAATTTATGAGGTGATTATGCGTGATAATTAGTGCAGCATTAGACTTTGGATTACCAACATGACAACAGAAAGGTACGATGGATATTTTTCACTAATCAGGTATTAGTTATGATTTTCATCTTGGTACATGAAATCAAAATCAATACTCAAAATTAAGTGAGCCTAGCTGTAGTTGATTTTCTTGCAAATTGTATTTATATTAGTATATACCCAAGTAATTTCAAATAATTGAAACAGGGAGTATGTAGCTAGCAACATTTGTTAGGCTATTCATCTGTAACCGCCTTATTATATACAAAAGTGACAGTTGATGTTTGTTTACAACATGCAATCTTTAAAAAGTTCACAATGATCAGATATCCTATTTAGGAAGGGAGGGGGAATCCTTCAGCATCTCTATATCAGTGCATGTGTGTGGGAAAAAGTTATGCTGAAAATATAATGTTAATTTCATCACAAACACACTTGCCTAAACTTTCATCATATTGCCTCAGTTCTCTGGGTATTACAAGTTTAGATGTTATACAGATTCATTACAGTAGTGCCCAGATGTTTAAGCTTGATAAAGAATTAGTAAAATTTCCTTAAAATTGGGTTATTAAGACATTCTTAAACTATAGATTGCTAATAAGTAAGCAACTCCATGGGGCTGTTATATTCATGAGAAGTCATCAATTGCTTAGCTGTTCAAGAATGTCCCAGCATTTTATGGTACCTGAAGGTTCATATTGTGTTCACGAGAGCCTACTGTTGATACTTATCATGATTCAGATTAGTCCAGTCCATACCATCTCATCCTATTTCTCTAATATTCATTTTAGTATTATTCTTCCTCCTGTAGGTCTTCATAGTAGTTTTTCCTTCTGGCCTTCACACCAAAACCCTTGTGGTAGCCACCCACAATAAATCAAGCGCTACCTGATCAGCATGGCCCATGGCAGCTCCAATGCCCATTGGTGCAACTTATCGACTAGTTTGATGTGGGTGGCTCCCAAACCCTGTTTGCATTCCTCTTCTCTTCCATGCTTGCTATATGCTTTACATATCTGATCCTCCTTAACTAAATCATTTTAATTATACTTAGCAGACAGTGCAAGCTATGAAGCTCGTTTCTAATAAAACAAAAACAAACTCCATGGCCTGTAGTCCGCAAGCAAACTATACTGACTGAGCAACTGCTACTTTTTGGCGAGGTTAGTGCCAACTTTAGCGGATAGAGGATGTTGCATGGTCAGCACAGTGAATCCCTACAGCTGTTAATCTCAGTTTTCTAGACCGGAGCTCCTTGCTAATATATTCACATAAATAGTGGTCAGAAAGATAAACTGGGAATGTGTTGGTGTATTTTATTTTTTCAGATAGCATAAGAAGTTTTGGGTAGAAAGTGTTAAATACAGGAACATTGTCTGACAGCCTGCTGCAGGTCATTTGGCCCACTTGGTATAAAGGGCACATGCTACTTGCACCACCTTGCATGCACATCCAGACTTAGGGCATAGTCAGCAATTGAGGGCCAGAGCACCCTTGGAACCACAGTTCCCCAATGCTGCTGTACTAGGTCCCTTGTGATCACAGTTCCTAGGGCACTCGAACCCTTACCACTCACAGTCCTTCAGGCAGCCTGGCTGCAGCCTTAGCTGCCTCTAATCTCAGGGCTTGGTGGAGGACCTCAGTCAGCATTCTCTTGCCACTCCCATGCCTTGCACGTGCTTCATTTTCTACCAGTTGTGTTGTGAGCGCTCTCAGATCTAGTGTTCACTTATACTGTTAGATATAGTTTAACACCAACATACATTTTTGTGGTAGTTTTCTCCCTTGCAAACAAGAGGTATGTTAATGCTGACAGCGTATAACCGGTTAATATTACGGAGCTGAACCCTACTTGAGAAGCCATCAGTTGTGCAGCTACTGAAGAACTTACCACCATTTTATGTTATGGAACCAGAATATTCACTATCATGTTCACACGAGCACTCCACTGGTCCCTATCCTGAGCCAGATAAATCCAGTCCATACCACCCCATCCTATTTCTCTAAGATTTATTTGAATATAATCCACCCACCTACATTTTGGTCTTTCTAGTGGTGTCTCATTCTGACTTTCCCACTATTATTGTATTTGCATTCCTGTTGTTAATTCATGCTACATGCCCTGCCCATCTCATCCTTCTTGATTTGATCATTCTAATTATACTCGTCAAAGAGTACAAGTTATGAAGCTCCTCATTATGCAGTCTTCTCCATCCTCCTGTCACTTCATCTGTCCTTGGTCCAAATGTTCTCCTCAGCACTCAAACATAAATGTAAGTAAATAGGAAAACTGAAAGTTCATTGTCTATTTTGTACTATCTCAATATCATTCGAAATTCTGGGTCTTGTTGTCATGATCTCTGGTAGCTCAGTATAGCAATTAGGCTGCAGGCTGGACAACTGGTATTTGTTTCGTGGCAGTGGTAGAGATTTTTTCTCTTCACCACTGCATCCAGACCGGCTCGTACTACATGGCATTGCATCCCAGAAGACCTTGACCATAAAGTGAGCACTGATATGACTTAAAAGAATATATGTGTGTGTGTATGTGCACATGCATGCACACAGACACATGTACACATTCAAATATGTATATAATATTCATGTGACAGTGATGTCTCGACTTGAGTGCACAGACACAGTAGAAAGCGTCATTTATGTATTGATTTGTCATTATTCATGGGGTTTAAACCCAGAAGTGGCTTAGAAAGTAACAAAGGAAGCCAAACAATGCAGCTTTTTCTGATATTCTACATGAATTGCGAAGCATAAATGGTAGATCCTTGCTTGTTTAATGAATCTAGTAGAGAATTGACCATTGCATTGCAATTATATTCTGGAACTTCTGATCCTACTTTGTCTGTGTTTTCATGTTCCACACTTTTACTGTGAGCTAGGTACTGATAGTGATTACCTATATTGGTGTTTAGGTAGTGTGCAGATTAAGATATTTTGTCAGGCCAGCCATTTGTCCTTTGTATACAGAATTTTGCATTGTAGGAAAGAATACCATCTGATGAGATATGTCTCATAAATTTCTCTTGGGTCTTGTTGTCATGGCATTATTAGTAGGTTGTGGAAAAACATTTCGAGCCCAGGAGTGTAGATGTTCAATCTTCATATAAACGGAATATAATTTTATGTGTTCTCTGTAAACTAGAAGACTTCCTGCACTTTGATTAACCATAGTTGCAGGATATTCTAAAATTTTAAATTGATATCGCCTATGTCAGTTGTAATATGTCTTTGTGTTTTGAGGAATTTTGCTAGTGAATAGATGGGCGGGCAACTTGAAAGGTTATGCTAGTAAGCAGTTGTACCCTGTGGAAATTGTTTGTGAAAGAAGATGCTAAAATTATGCCGGCAAGCATTCATTGCCTGGTTGGACAGGAGAAGCATCAGATGCTTCCACCTGAGCATCTAAAAGATTTGTGGGATGCTTCAAGATGATTATACTCTGCTAAGCTTGTGTTCATTATATTTCTCACTTCAGGATGGAGTGGGTGGAGATTATAGAGCCACGCACTAAAGAGCATATGTATGCTAATCTGACAACTGGGGAGTGTGTGTGGGACCCTCCGCCTGGAGTGCCTGTGTAAGTAACTGTACACTGTTTTTATTGTGGATATAACATTAATTGACTTTTCAGCCTAATATTGTTGTTTTGTGTCTTATTGTTTGTTTCTTAATTCATTTAAATATCATTTTGCAGCTTTGTAGGTTATGTATAGCATTGTATGAGTGGTTGGCTGTGAATGATGAATTGGGAAGGATGTGGAAAGAAGTGTTCATGGTATATTTTAAGGTACTGCTCCAGAGATCTTGAAAACCTTAAGAATAGTTAGCTTCCAGGCTGAGAATTAAACATGAACTAGGAGTGAAGAAAGCAGTCTTCTGGCATGTGGCACCATGTAGATGTGGTGTTAGCTGATGTTTTGGAGGAACGTATCACCTCCATGTTCAGGGTAGAAGGAAAAATAAGAAATCCACAAGTAAAGAGACTGTGAGAACCGGTACAAGCAGACTGTTGTTGGAAATATTTCCAAGATGGAGGCGATACGTTCCTCCAAAACGTCGGTTAACACCACATCTACACGGTGCCATATTCCAAAAGACTGCTTTATTCATAGTCACTGCCGTGAAAACCCCAAATCTTACATGAACTATGGGTGTTTACAGGCACACAGTATTGGTGTATTTTCTTGACTGTAAGTGGTAGTCTTGTCTTGTGATGATAATTTTATTCTAGTTTGAGGGATTATTGTTTCTAGACGTGTGGAGTGGACAGTTATATAATATTAAGTTCTTTTTTGGGCTGTTGTATTTTTTGTTATTTTGAGATCAACCTTATACTGAGTAAGCCAGATTTAATCTACATTTTCATACCTTATTTTTATGATATTTATTTTAACGTGATTCTCCTATCTGTGCCTAGGTCTTCCAAATATTTCTGTATCTTTAGGTTTTTGCATCACATTTTGTATCATCCTGTATCAGAAAATTTGGATCCAAAGTCTAAGAGTACTCATTCAGCTGAAAATTTTGCAACTCTTCATCGTACAGAGCAACGGTCTTCAGTTACATCAGTTCTGCCTTTCAGGGAAGGAGTATATGCTATAGCAAAATGAAAGTCATCCAAGCATCAGAAAATAATGTCACCTTATTTCTCTTTATAAATTTACTTTAGTGTAAATTAAATTACATTTATTTTTATACTTCAAGTTTGTGGCTATATGGTATGTGTTGCGTGTTCTGTACTGTGTTATGTGTTCCACAGTAAAACATTTGAAATATCGATAATTTTCCAATAATACTGTTAATTTATTTTTAATAACAGATTTTTTTTATTAAAAGGGGTACTGATAATGCATATTATTGCATGCTGTTAGAAAAGAAGCATTGTTTATATTTGTGGTACCCTTCAGTAAAGAGAGATGCTATATGCTGCATGTTGTGATGCCCCTTTGCTTTATTAATTAAGCACTGCACAGTGAAGATGTGTGGGGGAGTGAAGGTGTAGTTCCATGTATTCATAACCTTGGCACCAAGATGAGTTGGGTGATCACCTTCATGCCTCTTCTGCTTTACCCCCAGGAAAAAGCCCCTAGTACTCATTAGGAGGCTGGATGGGCTCTTGAGTTGGTCAGTACGTGTTGCAAAAGAGATAATCTCTTAGCCCTGCCAGGAATCAACTCCAAATTACTCAGTCAGCCAGCTTGTAGCTTGTCACTGTACCAGCCAAGCTGTCCCAGCTGTCATACACTATGGTCAGCGTTAAATTTGTGGCAGAAATTTTGGGATTTTGTCTTTAACCACCATATATGAAATTGTTGTGGCACCCACCCCGCTTTCTGTTCGCTAAGTCAGAAAATACATGAACCTGACCATTTACCTACATCAAGTACTCTCTTTGTGATGCGGAGTGCAAGAATAGCTTATGCCCTGTAAATGTCTAGTTACAGTTTTTTATTTTGTATGTTTTTGTTGTTATTTAAGCAGAAGTTATGTCTCCAGATTAATCAACCTGTGATTAACTGCCCTGCCCTTTAGTGTCATTTATGCCACTATAACTGAACTCATATTTCATGTCTCAAATAATGCGATATTAAATTTACAGCAAGAAGACAGACAACAATCAGTGGTGGGAACTCTTTGATCAGAATACATCCCGTTTCTACTACTACAATGCAACATCACAGAAAACCGTATGGCATCGACCACAGAACTGTGACATAATCCCACTTGCAAAGCTCCAGGTAATGGTGCAAGTCTGCATGTGGTAGAACATGTACAATATCTTGTAGTACTGGGAAGACTAAAATTTGTTGTGATGAATCTTCCTCCATACCTAGGATGGGTGTGACTTTGTTTCAGTCAGTTTATACATCATTTTACAATTTTTTCATATCGGTAGTTTAATGGAGGCAAGTTTGTAATGAGTGTTGAAGTGACTTCCGTGTATCTGATGAAAAGAAAAAAAAAAGTTGTCCCTGTACTTAAGTAAATAAGAACTGTGCTGTGAAACATATTGGGGACTGGCAGTAGAGCTCCACCATTCTCAGCCTCAGCATTTGACACAAGTGAGTGATCAGCTTCATGCACCAGCTGCTTTACCCTGGGGGAAATTGGGAGAAACTGCCCACAGTACGCATTGGATGGGAGGCTGGGTGGGCCCCAGATCAGTCTGAATGCTATCGTGAAGAGAAGAATCTTACCATGCCAGGAATCAAACCTATATTCTTGTTTTTCTATGTGTCTTTAAGAATGTGATATGATATAGTTGTAGTATGGTGAAGTTTAGAGCGCCCATATTCCTGTCTTCGAAGCTGTTGGGTCATTTTATCTATAAAATTGTGGTATAGATTGTTTCTGTATTTCTGTTTGAAGTAAATAATTGCAAGGCAGTTATGGGAAAGCTTCTACATAATGAACCGCTTTGTAACTTGGACCTCTGTGTAAAAACAGAAACCCTTGATCTCTTTGGGATACCATAAATTAGATAAACTAAATCTGTAGAATGAATTCATGTAGGAAAAAAGAAGTTTTCCTCAAGTTTTGTACTGTTAAGATTTGACTATATTTATACCTCACGTTATGAGAAGTAATGCTGTATTTTTATTATGTTGATAGAGGTGGTGTTGATTGAAGGTAATAAGTTCTTCATCAGTGTCCTAGTATGATAGTTGCATACTTTTTAAGATGTCATCGTCAGACACACTATAAATCTGCATATTATAATCTGGAGTGGATTTCTTATTTATTGTTTGGCAATATCTCGCATACCACACTTGAATTCATGGCCATGGGGTGTATTATCAGTGCTGCTTCTTGCAATAAGTATGGTTGGTTTTTCATAAAAGTAAACTTGAATATCTTACATATTTTAAATCAAAGCATAACTCATTCTTGCAGAATTGATAGAAGTATCAGAATTGCACATGCCATTATGTTCCCCCTGAAGTATCTCACAGGACGAATTGAATGAAATGCAGTTAGATTCCTGACTGAATAGAGATATTAAAGCAGAGTTTAAAATATTTTTAGGATTGTCAAGTTTCATGTCAGGTGCTTCCAAACTTTGAGGAATGTTTCCACAGAATTTATTCCCAGTAGCATTTTCTATCATAAGTTTTCTGTTCTGAACATAGTATGGGTATGCATTTTGTCTTTGTTCATCCCTCAAGAGACAAGTTAAAGTTCATGGGCTGCCCACATCCAGAATTCTAATATGTAATTACACAGTTTTTTCTTATTGGATTTGATTTGTTACAGTTATGCATATATCTTGAAATGCCTACACTTTTTAGGTGGTTTAGACCTCCTTCTGAGATCACCACAGTGTCTGAAACCCATCACCAACCATACTGTATTTCTGTCCAGCCTGTCAGAATTTGTCTTCCATAACTATAAAATTGTATGATTGGGTTCATACATTAACATCTACATAGATATCAAACATTGTATGAAAATGTTCTTTTGGGAAGGGGGAAGTAAGGATTTATCCAGGTCCACTAGATAACTAAAAAAAAGAAAATAAGAGGCCTTCATGATTTCTTCAACATTCCAGAAAATAAATATTTCTTCAAAATCATGATTGTATGTTCTGTTGTGATGATGAACACTTAACAAGGCTTTTTCATGTTCAGAGGGAACTGTTATAAAGCGTTTTATGTACCTAGCACATATTTATGTTTGCATGAAAGCAGGTAATTCCTTTAGCATTGGAGTAATCATCAATTAATAAGATGATCTCTTTCTGTATTATTTTCCCCTTAGATCCTCCAGGCAAAGTCATAGTACTTCAGTTAGGTCACTATCACATTGTTCTAAATCATTCTGCTTGCGTCTTGCTTGCTTAGCTTACTTGTCAGCACTGAAAATGGAGGGAGTATGTTCCCCCACACCATCAAAACTACATGATGTCATATGACAGAAGATAATACTAAACATGTACTCAGATTTTATGTGTCTTGTAACATTTTTCACACAAATGCCCACCACAGGAAATAGTTAAAGAAAATGATAAGATAAAATGTCACATATGGAATTGTGAGAGCTTGAATCCTTAACAGAATTTTTATTGGTTTTCATAAGGAATTACTGGCAGTTTCTTAACATGACAAAATATTAGAGTAAACAAACACTGTATGTCAGGATAACGAGTAGTTAGCTTTATAGTACATTGTAATACCATAACAGTATAGAGTTCTTTTATAAATTTTGTTGTTTTTGTTTTCATTCTGTATATTTATTGTAGACACTGAAACAAAACACAGAGCCAGTGTCAGAAGATACAGTGTCAACTGATGAGCCTAGAAAGAAGGAATCAGTTGCAACACAGACTCCTGGACGGACCGTGAAGAGTTCCAAAAATCAACAAGATTCCACCGCAGCTACTCAGATTCTAGTGAGTGTATTAGTGTTAGTAAATATAGGATTATTCCCATAAATGTTACTTTTGCGTGATCATTTGCATATAAAAAGTGTCACATTTTGACATCAGTCATAGTTTAGCTGTTGATGGTTACAGAAAAATACTTTGCTCTGTTGGTATAGTGATATAATTATGTTGTGGGCTGATGACTGTAATTTCCCTTTGCTGCTGCCCTGACCAGCTCTAGAGCTCATAATTCTGTGGCCTGTAGTCTGCAAGCGAACAAATTATACTGACCGAGTGACTTCGCTCATTGGCGAAGTTAATGCCAACTTTTGGTGATAGAGGGTGTTACGTGGTCAGCGCAACGGATCCTCACAGCTGTTAATCTCGGTTTTCTAGACCAGAGCCGCCATTTCTTTGAAACACCTCAGTTATCCTCACGAGGCTGAGTGTACCCCATTCCAGACCCACTACTTCTCAGAAAATCTGGTAGCGCCGGGAATTGGACCCAGGACCTCTGAATCTGTAGGCAGGAACTTTGATCACTAGACCACAGAGGCGGTTGCTCTAGAGCTCATGCATGTTCTTATTCAGCGGGTGCTGTGGGCTCTTTCTCTGGAGATAAAATGGCTGGAGTGTTAAACAGGCTGCCGATCTCCATCTAATGCCAAATTTAAGAATATAAAGCAAAAGGAGAATTTAATCATCATATTTTCATACATAGCTGTATTTATCTAATGCATAAATAAAAAATACACCAGATAAATGGTACAGAGAAAAACTTTAGTTTTTAGTAATATTACTTTAAGCATACCTGTTTTCACTGTTGTTTTAACAATGTAATGAGTTGATAATATTTCATGTTCAGCCTGGTTCAGGTAGCAGCAATAAGGCTGATTCACTTCGCCCTTCTCGCCCTTGCGCACCGTCAAATTGCTCCAACAAATTGTCTGTTACTTCTGAGACTCAAACTTCCCCTGTGGGATCACCACGCTCAGGCCGACGAGGACACCATCACCACCATCATCGTCATCATCATAACAGCACTAGTGGTGGACGTGCTGAGGAAGAAGGAAATGGCCCACGTGGCAGGAAGGGAAGTCAAGGCAGTGGATCCTGGTACAGTAGAACAACACATTCTCAGGTGAGGCACATGCTTATGCAAGATTTCTCACAAAACTGGTATTTTTTTATAAAATATGGATCATATTGAAAACACTTTAGATTAGTGCAAATTATTTGGGTTTTGTGCAATGTCAGTTTTTTCTTCTAAGTGCTTATTGTGCTTATTGGTTAAATGACAAGAAAGTATCTCAGGATCAGACAGTCTACTATGCATGAAGAGTTCATTTAGAAATAAAATGCAGTATAATGTTAAAGAAATCTTCAGATTCAACACATGCATTGTCATTTTTCCCCCTTATATTTTGTGAACATGGTAATTAATTAATTTTGTTGTTACAGAGTGGGACTTTACAATAATTTATCTTTAATCAGTGTAATGTTATCTTTGTTGCTCATATTTCTGATGAACGTGATATTAAAATTCTGAATATCATTGAACTTGGTCATATACAGTTTGCACAGGGCACTGCAGCAATTCATCATCCTCATCTTTAAGTGTTTTATATGCAGTTTTCATTATTTTTCATGTTATAAATGCATTTAGTTCCTTAGGGCATAAGGGCTGTATATCCATGATTAAACTGAGTAAAATTATAGTAGAAATTGGAAAAAACAATAATCTTTTATTCTGTCTCCTATGTTGAGGTGTTCATATTTCAAACATGATATTCCACAAAATGTGGAGATAAACCATTGAGGCAATGAAACACACCACGTGGTAGCCCTCCTAGAATGGAATGATTAATGTAAGAAGTTAGTTTTTGGAGTGTTCTGGTTCTGATTACAACTGCTGCAACAAATATTGAAAATGTAAAAGGAATACAAATATGTCAGTATGGTTGCATTCACCTGGAGATGGTTGGAGAACCGTCATACAGAGATGAATGCAATAGCAGTCAAAGAGTATATGTTACATGAGCAATATGTTGATAAACCCAGAGCATTTTTCACTGTTGTGTTAAAGATCTCTCATGTTACACTGAAAATGAGCAAAAGTATGCATCTTAATCAGTCAACTGATAATATTGTTTCTGTTTATTCCTTATTTCTTTGAAAGTAAAACTGAATAAGGTTGTAGGGGGCATGCGATAGCATAGTTGGTTGAGGGGCTATGCTACAAGCCGGAAGGTTGTGGGCTCAAGTCCCGACAATGCCATTTCATTTTTTTCAATTGACCTAATCCTATATATGATATAAACTCCGTCCTAAATGCGACAATATATTGTAGGTCTTTCGTCTTGCTTTCTTCTACACTACATGTTTCGGCTGCAAACGGCCATCATCAGGTGTATACACTCATGTAGTGTTACACTGCACCCAGTTTAACATTAAAAACATACAGGTCTTCCCAATTGTTCCCTTCATCGCTGTTAACAGGACCTACTTCGCTGATATTTGTGTGATTCGTACCTCATCTTTGCCACCCACACATGTCAATTTTGACCTTCATGAACTGACACTTTTAAAATCTTCAGTTCCAATTTTAAAAATTCTTTTAAAATTTTTTTCCCAAATTTTAAATTTTAAATTCTCAGGGTTACTCGCCCCACGGCTATAGTGCTGCAGCGGCAACTTCTTGTTTTCAGCACTGTACAGGTGTTATCTGTAATATACAAATATTCATATTACTATCTTATGTATGTTATGTTTTCTTATATGTTTATACTGTTATTTGTACTTACTCTGTGTAGGCTCCCTGTGTGCGTGCCGCTGCTTATCTGTACTACGTGTGCTGTCTGATGTATTGTGTGCTGTGTTTTATGTTGGTGAGTGTAGGAGGGGGGTGGGTGGTGGGGAGAGGGAGGTACCGTTAGTCTGTATAGATTTCGTGTATCGTTTGAAATATGGGATTGTGTGTTTCTTTGTGTGTGTCATTCATGTGTAGGCCCTTCTTACTTATTTTATATATATGGTATTTCTCTAATGTACTCAAATGTCTACCCTTCTTTCCTGTTGTTACCACTTCCATTACATGTGTTATTGTTCTGTATGCATGTCCCTTATTTAGTATGTGATTTGAGTACCCGGAATTGCTATTATTATTTCTAATATCATGTATATGTTCTTTATATCTGGTGTTAAATGTTCGGCCCGTTTGCCCAATGTATTTCAGTAGTCAATCTACACATTTCATTTGGTATATGCCACTTTTATTGTATTTATCTAATTGTGGTTTTTGTTTGANTATGTTTTCTTATATGTTTATACTGTTATTTGTACTTACTCTGTGTAGGCTCCCTGTGTGCGTGCCGCTGCTTATCTGTACTACGTGTGCTGTCTGATGTATTGTGTGCTGTGTTTTATGTTGGTGAGTGTAGGAGGGGGGTGGGTGGTGGGGAGAGGGAGGTACCGTTAGTCTGTATAGATTTCGTGTATCGTTTGAAATATGGGATTGTGTGTTTCTTTGTGTGTGTCATTCATGTGTAGGCCCTTCTTACTTATTTTATATATATGGTATTTCTCTAATGTACTCAAATGTCTACCCTTCTTTCCTGTTGTTACCACTTCCATTACATGTGTTATTGTTCTGTATGCATGTCCCTTATTTAGTATGTGATTTGAGTACCCGGAATTGCTATTATTATTTCTAATATCATGTATATGTTCTTTATATCTGGTGTTAAATGTTCGGCCCGTTTGCCCAATGTATTTCAGTAGTCAATCTACACATTTCATTTGGTATATGCCACTTTTATTGTATTTATCTAATTGTGGTTTTTGTTTGAGTATATTTTCTATTGTGTTTAATGTGTGGAATGCTACTTTTATCTGTGTGTCTTTGAAAAGTTTTGTAATTTTTCTTACTTCTTTTGTACTATATGTAAATATGGCCCACTTTGTTTTTTGTTGTTGTTCGTCATGTGTGTTTGATTTTTGTTTTTGTTTTGTCTGATGTGATCTCTTGATTATGTTTGTGTCATATCCGTTGTTATGTAGTATGTTTTTAATAGTGTTCTTCTCTATTTTCCTTTTTCTGTTGTTGGGTATATGTAGAGTCTATTTATTAGGTAGTTAATGCCTGACAATTTGTGCTCGAATGGATGGCACAAACTGTTAGGTATTATGATNCATGTCCCTTATTTAGTATGTGATTTGAGTACCCGGAATTGCTATTATTATTTCTAATATCATGTATATGTTCTTTATATCTGGTGTTAAATGTTCGGCCCGTTTGCCCAATGTATTTCAGTAGTCAATCTACACATTTCATTTGGTATATGCCACTTTTATTGTATTTATCTAATTGTGGTTTTTGTTTGAGTATATTTTCTATTGTGTTTAATGTGTGGAATGCTACTTTTATCTGTGTGTCTTTGAAAAGTTTTGTAATTTTTCTTACTTCTTTTGTACTATATGTAAATATGGCCCACTTTGTTTTTTGTTGTTGTTCGTCATGTGTGTTTGATTTTTGTTTTTGTTTTGTCTGATGTGATCTCTTGATTATGTTTGTGTCATATCCGTTGTTATGTAGTATGTTTTTAATAGTGTTCTTCTCTATTTTCCTTTTTCTGTTGTTGGGTATATGTAGAGTCTATTTATTAGGTAGTTAATGCCTGACAATTTGTGCTCGAATGGATGGCACAAACTGTTAGGTATTATGATGTCTGTGTGGGTTTCCTATATATTGCGAATTGCAAACTATCTTCATTACGATGTATTGTTATATCTAGAAAGTTAATAGATTCTTGTTGTTCTCTTTCAATGGTAAACTTTATAGTTTTAATTGTTTCTTGCATCCTGGATCGAATAAGTGAGAAGACGAATGTGATTGCGTGTAATTATACAACTGTGTTCGTACACCTGAGGATGACCTCCTGAGGTCGAAACATGTAGTGTAATAATAATAAAAATATGTTGTGTGGTCGGTAAAATTGACTCTAAACTTTATAGTTGGTTGCAATTCGTTAATTTTTTGAGTGTATGTTCTATGTTCGTTATTTTTTCATATCTAAAGTAGGCCAGTATTTATTGTTTTACTAGAATGGGATATATTTGTGTGTGTATAGAGTGCAGCAGGATGCTTAAATATAATATTGTAAACCTAATCCTTCCAGCCGCACTATGGCCCTGGGGTTCACTGAGCCTCTAACAGAAATGAGTACCAGGAATTAATTGAATAATTTTCCTGGGGAGTAAAGTGCGGCCAGCGTGTAAGGCTGACAACCTTACTGCCATCTTTGAGCTGATTGTCTAGATAATGTGGGACCCTCAGCGTCTCACAGTCCTATGGGCCTTCATGGCCTGGCACAGGGATAGCTTTATTCTCTTTTTTTATGCCTCCCATACTGGAACTTATGACAGGAGTCAGCATGTCTTGACTAACTTTACTAGACAAAGATGTTATTTGTAAGGAGTCTGTGGGGTGTCATATGTAGAGACAACCACTTATTAAAGTATTACATAAATATTTATTGTAGTTGTACAGAATATGCAGACAAACTACTATTTGAAGAATTGTTGTTAAGCTGGGTGAACAACAACAACAATAATAATCTCTATTGCTATATCTTCCGCTTATATAACCTTGAGTCTGACCTATAGAAAATGCGTCCATTGCCTAACAGCGGACACCTACTGTTGTCAACGTGTTGTAGGCTTTACTTAGCTGTGGCTGTTTACCCAGCCCTTCCTTAGCAGCAGATTGTTCCTAGCCTGTGATTGGCTAGCACTTGATTCAATGTGGGCAGTTCCCTCAAGCCTAAATGTAGAAAATGTATATATATTTTTTTGTAAAACATGATAAATGTAAAGGTATCCTTATGCTTAATTAAGTAATGCATCACATAGACGTATTGTGGAATGGAGGTATAGCCGGCCAGTGTGTTATCGGCCAGCCCATTGTGGAATAAAAGTATAATCACTATGACTTCATTCAAGAATTTGTGAATAAAGGAAATCTTTGAATGTCCTGTTTCATTCAGGACTCTGGAAGATCAAGTGACTCCAGTTCGGTGTCACATAGTCGCACAAGTCTCGAATCTGGTTACCGTTTGTTGGAATCTCCACATCATCACCATCATTCTTCCAACAGTCATCACCACCATCACACTCATCGGCACACTGCTAGCAATCCAGCTGGTAAATACTGATTTGTATATTATTTATGCTGGTCTGTGCTTTTGTTGTTAAGTGTAGTTGCCCTAAATACCTAAATGTATGTACAGTGAAACTTGTCTGTGTTGGCCATCTGTCATTCCACTCAGATGTGGCAGGTGACCAACTTATATTATGAATGTTGCCTTTCTTTTTGGCTTACAATGACTTTATATTGCACTGTTGTTGTGTTACTTTTGCCACCACATAATACTTTTTAGTAGGACCGTATACCTAATATCATATTAATATGGGAGAGATATTTCCACTTTTGTTTTCTAATCTATCTATCAGGAAAGGAGAGGATGAAGGTACTTAGAAGGGATGGATGGGTGGAGAGGTTTTCTGATTGACTGACTGGTACAAAAATAATCAGTATTGTTTCATTGTGGCCAACATAGAAAGGTTAAAATGTGTACAGAACCATATCATAAACTGCAAGAAGGTGGAAAAGGTACAGGCTAAAGGTAGAGAAGTTGTAAGTTAAAGATAGTTAGCCATGTATAAATTATTTGATTTTGACATTTCTATTCAAATGCAGTTAATTATGATAGGTTACTAATTTGCAGGGGCTGCCAGTTTCTCTTTGTGGTATTAACTTCTAACAGTTATTCATTAAAATAATGAGGATGATTTACAGTAGTGACTGCACTTGTAGTAATGCCACTGTTCTAGGAATTTGGTGTTAGTACTCTTGAAATAATACAACACAGTTGTTAAAATCTACTGCTAACTTTAACCATGTACAAGTTATTCATGAATAAGAAATATTACATAAATAGTGGTGTTTCTAATATAAATAAAATATGCTTTTGATGTGCTTGCAGCCCAACCCTACTGCTGGACTCACTAACTCATACTGGCTACTGTCCAGAATCCTCTAGAATGTTTACAAATAATATGCGATCTCTGATGGTGAAAAGTAGAACCAAGCAGAGAAACTGTCATTATGAATAAACAATATAGCTGAGACCAAATTCACATAATTACAGTGGTTCATAAATTGTAGTTTTAAAATCAATAAATATCATTAAAGTTTGTGTAATTGTAGTATTGTGATTTTTAATTTTGGCCCTAACATTCAATTTAACTCAAGGATGGTTCCCTGCCTCTCCTTGCAGCTGCAAATATAATTAAATGTCCCTGATGTTGCAGTGTTATCGTATGTGGATGTCAAGATATAGTACTAGCCTACCACAATCTAAGAGTAAACTTCAGAACATCTTTGAGATGCAACTGATGATATTTTGAAGATGATATTAGTCAAGATTGTCTTAAACTTCAGAGTTGTATCAAAAACTGTATCGTTAACTATATTGAAAAGTGTTTTCCTTCAGTTCTGAGGAGGTTTCTTGGGCATGTATGTTAATTCTAGCTCTCATAACGGTTTTTTTATCTCTTTTTTTATGTAGAGAGAAGAACATTTTTTTTGAGTAGCTTCTTCCCTACAGTTCAGATCATACCACATTCTGAAACTTTGGTCTGCTTAATGTAGATAGTACCATATATTAGTGGGGCATGCGACAGCATAGTTGGTTGAGGCACTATGCTACTTTCATGGGTTCGAGTCCCTATGAGGTCATTGAATTTTTCAGTTTACCTAATCTTCCAGCCGCACTGCGGCTCTGGATTCAACTCATCCTCTAACAGAAACGAGTACCAGGAATCTTCCTGGGGGGATGCAGGGTGGCCGGCATGTAGGGCTGATAATGTTACTGCCCTATCTGAGCCAATTGTCTAGAAAATGTGGGACCTCGACGTCTCACAGCCCTATGGGCCTCCACAGCCTGTTACAGGGATAGCTTCACCCTTTTTACCATATATTAATCATGGCACTGCTCATTATGTTAATTATCATTTAGGTATTGTCATTAAATGAAAGTTTATAGGTATGTTATGGCAGTGTTCAGAATCATCATAATGTTACTGTGGCTGCAATATATAATTTGTCTTTGTTTTAATATCATAGGACTCTCACCTCCTCCTCCTAATGTCACATCTCTTGAACATCGGCTTCGTGATAGGGATGTTCCTGCACTTGCACTGGAGCAGAGACATAGGGATGGTAGTAGCGGCCTAACACTTTCCACTAGTACACCTCTTTTTAAGAAGAAACCTCTTGGTGAAGCTAATTCACAGGTATTCAAAGTTTGAAAATATAATCATTGTAAATTGAACGTTTTTGCTGTCACATTGTGAGAACGATGGATGACTCATTGTGGAGGTATATACTTTTGGAGATGTTTTAACGTGCAGTTCACTTTACTTTGCCAATACACAGGGCTCAGGAAACCCAGTCATCTGCTTGTCTGTGATGAGTGAAGAATTTAGACAGATATGAAAATCTTGTGAACTTATTAATTTGAACTTTCAATAAATAATATTTTGAATGCAGAACATATGATGTAAGGCTGTGGTTCTCAACCTTTGTGAGACCGCGGCCTTGTAAATTCTTTTTTTATAAGACAAGGGCCCGGCATAATTGATGCCAAGGCCTGGTACAGGGCCACAGCCCAGCAGTTGGGTAACACTAACTTAAGGGACAGTATTTTATGCTTTTTGTGTGTTAAGTAATTATATGTAGGCTGGTGTGAACCAATTAATATGGCTAGTCACATTTTTCATTGTGAAGAATTATCTGTCAAGTAGGATTTTTGCCTGACTGCTGACCCTTGGTAATACATTATGTTACAAAATTGCTTTGTCCCTGAGTTGTGAGAAAATTAGTAAACAGAAAGATGATAATGATAATGGCACTTTAGCTTTATTCCACAAATTTTTAACTATGTTTAATTCTGATTACATTATATTGTGAAGGATTATGAGACTATAATTATATATACATATATTTTTTTTCCTTGGCACTACAGCCCCAGTGGGCCTAGGCCTACCTCCATGAACTCTGTTCACTTCGGTTTTTCTAGATCTTACACATACGGTAGGACTCCTTGGGCGGGTGATCAGCTCATCGCAAGGCCTCTACGTGTAGACAAACACAGAAAAACGCACACAAACATCCATGCCCTGAGTGAGATTCGAACCCACGATCTCGGCTTCTGAGCGAGCGAAGACAGTGCATGCCTTAGACCGCTCGGCTACCGTGACCGGCATAATTATATATACATTCATTAAAGTCTTAATGGAATGGAATGGAATTTCTTAAAATATCATTCCATTTGAAAACTTTTTAGTTCGTCATTGCCTTCAACATGCCTTCGTGTAATTATCAGTAGCTCTGCTTTTAGTAACAGTGCATCTAAATACATTGATATCGGAACTTCTTTAAGTTCCGTTTGACGATAATATTTTGTTAAAGTCAGAAGAGCTCATTGTTTTTGAGTGATTGTTTATTAAACCCTCAAGACAGTATCTGGAGTATGTACTCTAAAGTCAGTGAGATATAGTATTGGCAGCTGCCCATGTATGCCATCACTGGCTGCAAGCCCACAGAAGAATCATTGTTGCTGTGCCATCTCTTAGCAGAGAATTTAACTGAAGCCTTACATCTCCAAAGATTGAAATTTTCACTGTAATTTTTCTTCTGGCTGAACGATTTAATAGGATATAGAAGGAATGTTTTGTGACATTCACCAGATGCATGGTGGCTTCTAAGTGGCACTGCCTAGTACATCGTATGGCCTGGCAACAAGCTATAAATTATGCTATATGAAAGTTTAGAAAATTTGTTATGCCTCCTGAAAATTTCATAAAACTCGCTTTAGTAATTTCTGAAATGAATGCTTTGAGAAATGTCTGGTACAGGGTCACTTTGCTGCTTTGTACAACAAGTATGAGATTAAATGCTGGCTTGAGGGATTAAACATGAGAATATTTGCTTGTGTTTATAGGTACAACATTTAACTCAGCAGCAGAGAAGTAGTCTTGACAAGTATGGGTTGCTGTCTGTACCATTACCCATCAATCAATGTCGTGATCAAGTTAGCAGTGCGGGCGTGAGTGGCAGTGTATTACTTGCGAAACAACGAAGTTTTGATGTGGCAGAGAGCAGAGAAGGAGGAACTTATGGTTTCAGTGGACATGAAAACCGCTCTACATCACGTCATAAAAACCAAAGTCAACAGCCATTACCAACACCTCTAGCTCGTAGTTATAGTTTTATGCAGCGGCGTGAAAAATATCACCAATATCAAGATGAAGATGATTCCATGCATGAGAAATATTTTCTTGGAGCTCCTAGTAGTGGTGGCGGCGGCGGTGGTGGTAGTTGTGGCAGTGGAGGTGGTACTAGTATAGGTAAGACTGAACTTTTGGTATGATTAAGATAATTTATTGTAATTGACCATCCACACTTACCACAATTTTTTTTACGAATTCTCAAATAGACACGTTTCAGCCATCTTCAGGTCCTTCAAATACCATGGGCATGAATTTGATCAAGATTTGGGAGTGATATTTCATTACAGGATATTAAATATTTATTTCTGTGCTGTGTTACAAGAGTGATAACAGATTATGTTCATGATGAACCATAATTTTCATTGCCTTCACTATTCACTGCGTCATCTGTAACTTATTGTCATGTCTGTGGATGGTACCTGAGCTTCTGTAACTTGCTATTGTATCTGTGGCTAATACTTTTAAGGTAAGCCATTGGAACTTCAGTACTTTTTTAATTTATGTTGAAGGTGGTTTTTTAAGATGGGCTTTGCAATGTATGAGGTCTATTTTAGTCATTCTTCTATGCTGAAGATGAAGGTAGAACGTTCTTCAAAAATATTAGTAAAGTTCTACCAGGCTATACAATGTCACATCCTAGAATATAGCAGTCTTCAGAGTAATTGTCATGTGACTCTCACATCTTGCATGTTAAGTCATTTTTATCCCCCAAATATATATTTAGTTTTTACCGTATTTTCATGCAAGTAATTCACTGTATTCTCATGTAAGTAATTAAACTCTTTCTTGTTTACATAGTTCTAAATTTTCTAATCACATGTAATTCTGTGTGAATATCATATACTTCACATTGTCCAACATTAAATCATTAGTTATCACCAGCTTGTTTTGTGACTTAAATTTACACAAATTTCGTTACTATTCTAATATTGTATTACAGTTAAAATACAGGAAAATACAAGTGAATCTTGGAAATTATAATTTTACAGATTAAAATTCGAGGGGTTCATCTGAAATATATCTTTTTTTAGTGTGCCAGTACGTAAATTTGTGTGTGTTATATTTTTTAAAATAAGCTGAAATTATCATTTCTCCTGCTCTTGATGATGATGATGATATGTTAGCATTACAGAGCTAATACACCTTAAAAATCAATAAGTTTATTTTCCGGACACATGGCAAGACAAAGAATTCAGAAGGATTTTCAGTTTTTTGTTGCGATGCACTCATATTTAATGTTAACTTTTTTGTAGGTGGTAGTCCGTCTGTTGGAGGAATGCGTTCAGTGGAGTCAACACCACAAGCACGGCGGAAATATGGTCAAGGGGGCACAAGGCAACCTGGTATGACAGGAGGGAATACAGGTGGAGAATGTATCAACTTCGGAACAACTGCAGCATCTTGTTACTCTAGAACAGCATCTAATTCTGTTGGGGTAACTTCAGGTGTAGGAAAGTCATCAAAGGATGCTGCGGATCATACAACTAAAGATGATCTTGTCAGTATATCAACCCCCCTTATGCATCGGAAAACAAAATCAGAACCCAGGTATATTACACATTCATTGGGTTATTATGCACAGACTGGGCAGTGTGATACAATGAAGGATGTATTAAATTTTGTAAAACTTCAGATGCCAATGTTCCTGAGCTACCAACTGGTCAGAGCTTTGCCTTATATGGAATATACTACTATATTTCATCCATCGGATATTTGTCCTTGAAGTTATAAAGCATCTAGTCCCAAACTTGGGATGTCTCAGTACCTTCACTAAGGAATAATGCTTAATTTAATTATTCTCTTCATATTTGGCATAATGTTAGATATTGTGGGATAGCAAGACAGGTGGTAAATGCATTTGAACATACACAGAAACTAAGGTAACTTGCTGTAACAGATTGCATAGTATGTGATTTAGGATATATATACTGCTGAAAGCAAGTAGGAAGAACATTAGTGTTCACTGCATTGAATTCACTTACCATGGGCAAGATTTTGATTGTGACAATGAAATAATTTAGGTTTTCTGGGAAGTACATCTTATGTGAATTATGTTGAAATAGCCTAACCCTTCACATGCAGATTCAAGATGATAAGGAGTTACTCCGCTCTTGCATCATTGAGATTACACTGTGAACTGTAACATGTAGCATCTTAACAAATCTCCACTGGGATTTATTGCAGATATCGAGATCAGTTACAACTACAACAGCCCCAAAAGAAACAGTCCCATAAATACAATGCACTTGGTGATTGTATTACGGCATCAGCAGCATCTTCCATTAAGACTCATAGTAATGATAATTCATCCAGTGAAGATCCCACTTCAAGTCCTTCCCCATCATCACCTGCAACCACGTCTCCGTCTAGTCCTGCGGCCATTGTTCGTGGCATCAAGAAATCGATACATCCAAACCCTTTTGCATCCATTGAACCTCCACCAGTGTCAAGACACCGTTCTACAACATTACCAGGAGGGTCAGATGTTGATGCAGTCTTGTGTGGTGGTAAGGGACCAGCTTCATATGACGAGTTGATCTCCGTTTCCACTGGTCAGCCTGAGCACCTCAACAAACTGTCACAGCCCACTCATCTGTCAGCAAGGGAAAACTCTTCTGCTAAGGTAGCCATTTTCATATTTTGCACAAAGTGAATTAATGATAAAGAGGTTGTATCTGTTTGTCTTATTTTCATCTTGCAAAGCAGTTTACAGGTCTGCCCAATACGAGACACATCTCTCAGTCCTGGTTTTTCAGATCACTGATGTCTACTCCATTACATTCTGTTCAGTTTTCCTGTCCTTAAACCTTCAACCCTCAAGATTAGGGAACAGAAGAAAAAATCTTGTTAATAAGAAGGGTGTCTCACTTGTGGAATGCTGTGTTTAGCTGAGAACTGGCACGCAGTGGGCAAGTGGATTGTCATGGTGGATATATCACTTTGTAGATTCCCACTTTTGTGACCATTTACAAGTCGCCGCATAACAGAAATGTCTTGAGAGTTGTAAGTAGACTTGTTGATTAATGATTGGACCTTATGTAGCATACTTATGGTTCTCAACGAACTTACAATTGGACATGAGAGCATCACTTTGTTTTTATTAAACAGGCACGTACTTAAATATCAGCCAAACTCCTAAAATAATTGAGGAACTTGTCATTAATTCTTTGCTATTATGCAGACATGCATTTTACAAAAATGTTTATTTTATGGTGGTAGCTTGCCAATGTTGTATGTTTTTACAGAATTCTGGCTACAACAATGGAAATCCAACAGTAGGAAAGTTTTCTCATGGGAACCTGGATAACAAGGGACTGGGTTGCAGTGGAGAGCCAGTTGGTGGAGGTCCTCTGTATAGTAATCTAGGAGACTATCCACCGTACATTCTGGGTCCTGAGATCCAGGCACATCTCCTACCTCTTCAGCAGTATATTCTGGAACAAGCGAAACTGTCTGGTAACAAAATAATCTGTATGACTACAGAGTCTGAATTATTCCTCATTTGTAATGGATGTAACACCTGTATCAGTTGCTGTGGTTATGTGCTGAATTTCAGTGCTTTTAAAGGTTCGGTCACACAGAGCGCTACATACGTGACGCATGCTACGTTCACTATACAAACAGAAAAATATCTCACTTTATTGCCAATGTGACTGGCCACACAGACTTCCGTAAGCTATGTTCCCTATGTTACCAGCGTCGCAGAGTGTACACAGTGTACGCACAACTGAACTCCCTAAGATCCTCAGCCTTCCAATTACTCTGCTTTTTTTTTTTTAATGTGTTCAAATAGTTATGTATATGATGGCTTCATGTCATGATCGTGTATTTAGTTCGATATGTTCAGATGAATTTCTTTGTTAACCTGTAAAATGTATTCTTTATTTTTATTCATATTATATTTTTTAATTTCTCATCCAAGGACTTGTAGTCAGAGCAAGTATGTGATTTACAGCTATTGATTTTGAGCCCTTTCTCATTGTGTGGATATTCCTGATTGCATACTCTGTATTCAAATTAAAATGTAATGAGATTAAAGCATTCCCATTCTTTATTCTGTTGTAAACTGAAAATGCATCAGAAATGCGTTTACTTGTAATTATTATACACCTCATACATACATACACATATTTAATGAATCTAACTTCCTTTTTTATTATCATTCTAAAGTCAGCTAAAAAGAATTTCATTACTTATGCAGAAATATAGATATTGTGGCATGTAGACCCATTGCTAAACATTGACTGTGAAACAAGCAACTATACAACAGCCATTGCTAGGTAGCAGCTCCGCCAGCAGACAGGAACGCTTATCATCCCACGGCAGCAGGAGGGTAGAACACTGATGGGAAGCGGTGTTTTCTACATGGTCCATCCTGAGATATTAGCAGGACAAGTTAGGAGCTAAAGTTAGTTAATTAATGAGAAGTTGATTGGTGAGTGAGTGAGTGAGTGAGTTAGAGGACTGCTGCAGCTCAGTCATTGTGAGCTCTCGCTGTTAGAAGTTGGTAGCTGAGGACAGGGACAGTTGGGGAACCCAGAGAAAGTGGAGCATCCACCATTGGAAGGCACTACCAAGCAATGGCTAGTGGAGACTGTAACAGACTGAGAACACCAGTCTTTGTGTGACAGTTATTTGTGAAGTGTAGTCATGAGTTCTGTTTGTTAAAGTGTTCAGTAAATCTGATTACCAATCCAGACCCAGTCTATACTCACTCCATATGCTTGACAATATGAAAATGTCATTACAGGAAACATGTTAAATGAGCCCAAACATATGCAGAGATTCTGATAGTTGACATGTTAAGTAAGTGTCTACTGTCAGGTTATTTAAGTTGGAAAATATTACCAAAATGTATACAAAATTTTAAAGTTAACTACATGCCTCTATTCATTCATTATGGTACAGAAGGACATTTATTTTTTTGCAGGCTGTTACAGGTTTGGAGATCCGCTCAATGAAGAAGCAGACTCCCTTCATTCAGAAGATGAAGATCAGTCGACTGGGCGGGGTGAGGATGACAGTGATGAGTTTGCTGATGATGAGGGAATGTCTAATCAAGAAGATTCCAGTTCACAGGAATATCTTGATGACAGCAACTATCTGGATGATGATGACAGCAGCCATCGGGAGACATATAGTCAGTTCCTAGCTCCACAGCCTCCACTCAGGATACGATCAAAGTACACTCCAGGTATGAAATTATTAAAATGGAACTTAGAGAGATAGGGTGGGATGGTATGGATTGGATTGATCTGGCTCAGTGTAAGGACCAGCGGAGGGCTCTTTTGAACACTGTCATGACCCTTTGGGTTCCATAAAATGCTGGGAAATTCTTGAGTAGCTGCAGAAGGGCTCAGCTCCACGAGTAAGTAAGAAGAGCACATAACTATGACTGGGAAACTGTGTGGGTCACTGAGAAAATTATATTATTGTCATAATTGTCACAGAATGATTTTTCACAGAGTATACTTTCTGAATGCAGAAAACGGTTAGTCATTGTGGTATCTTCGAAAATTTTATCTACCATTAATTTATGTTGGTCATGTTGAAATTAAAAATGGCTTTGGTTGCTGATGGTTTTATGGCCAGTATTGGCAGTGAAGTGCATTGGTTTAGTATGAAATGTTATCTCATGCTTTGTGGCAGATGATTAAGTCATATTTCTCATTGACTTCTGGGAGTGTGAAGTGAATTGCCTCAAATCGGTTACCACAGGAATCAACCAGGGTTATTTTCAATGCAAATTGATTTATCAGTCACTCATTTGCTTCCGTATTTAATGCAACTTAAAACTGTTCACAGTGTCTCTTTAATTTAAAATAACATTAAAATCGCCTCAGTTGCTACATATTTCGGCCTTACTTGGCCATCTTCAGGCAATTGTTTACTGTTTGAAAACTGCTGCAATGCACTAGATTTTAGTCGGTATATTTCCATGCTATTCCATATTGTTCACACTAAAATGTGTTTGTCAGAGAATAAAACTCTCTCTCTGTTCCATGCTATTTTCCTTTTTCGGTGTCCAGGTTTGTGCCCCCTTTGTATGCCCCTACTCACTAGTTGGGCACATGTCACTTGTATGCAGATTGATTTGTATGTCCAGAATTTAAGGAACACATACTGACAATTCTCATTTGAGAATTTATAATTGTTTTTGGGAAAGAGTGTTATCACTGAACTGGAAGAGGCAAACATTTAACCAATTTTGAAAGAAATATATATGTTGTTGTACCAGATGCAGTCCTTTATAGACTGTGGCATACAGACAAGTGTCCATTAATTGAGCATGTGGAATCTCTTGTGTAGAAAATCTCAGAAGAGTCTTTTAAAAATCATCTATGTTATATAAAATTTCATAGAATTGGAATGTTATAACTTCTTGAAGTACAGTGAAACCCTGTTTAAGGTTTTCCTGGGAACCACTTCATTTGAATGCTGAACTGAGGAATATTTTGAACCCTGGTAATTTGATCTTTGAAACTGAATGTTAAATTAAGGAGAATCTTAAATTGAATGTGAAATGGGTGTTTCACTGCAAATAATTTCTAAAATGAAGTTCGCTGCATGCATTTACAGTAACATAATTATAAGTATTTATTATTTCTTTATAGTGTGCTTGAAACATTTTAATTTATCATACTTGTGCATGACCAAATTCACCTCAGTTTTGAAGACATCAGATATAGACTGTAGTCTTTTGTACTATGATACACTATAGTGTGGTGAGTAGTTAACCAGTGTTTCATGGGAAATCATTTGCCTCCATCTTATTTGTAGAAGTTTACTTTTAGAAATCAGCCAGGTAGAGCTCTCTGTATGTCCTGTACCCACCATGGGTCACATACTGCCAACTTTTGTTTTAAATTTGTGTATTTCTTCCTACCATGGTTATACGAGATGCATTGCAGTCTTTATTGAGATCATTGTTTCCTTGTGATTTCAGACTGTCGAAATAGTTCAGATTATGTTGATGGTGTGACATACTACAATACCAACCTTACACCTGGCACCACATTAACAGCTTCCAGTTTGCAGCAGCACCAGCAGATCGCACAGTGTAGAGGAACTGGAGGAATAGCTGGTGGAACAGCAGCTGGTGTGTTTGTTAATTATATGTTATGCTTGCTGATAGAGAAGTGAACTGAACAGACATGAGGCATGTTAAATTTGAACTTTTCATAGTAGTGTTTATGAAGAGTTCTGTCATGGGGATGTGATGCTGTGTAGTCCAGTAGTTCACCAGTGTTTTGGAGGAGCATGCTGCCTCTGTCTTCAGGTTAAATAGATGCTGAGCAAGCAATAAGTGACAAGCAGCAAGTTTTTTTTATTGCTAGTGGGGTGGGACAAAGTCCCTTGTACTGCAGCCACTTCTGGCCTGTTGTGCCAGCCCCAGATGATAGGTGAGGGTGATTGTGGAGCAGTTGGTGGAATGAAGATTTGCAGGGGAAACCGAAGTACTCGGAGAAAACCTGCCCCAGCGCCACTTTGTCTACCACAAATCCCACTTGACCAGACCCGGGATCGAACCCAGGCCGAAGCTGTGGGAAGCCAGCGAGTAACTGCTTGAGCTGTGGCGTGGCCCAGCAGCAAGCTTACTCATATTGGTGGCCGTACGTTCTTCAGAAAAGTCTGTATTCTTCTTCCAGACTACTCACAGTCACATCCTAGAAGGTAGTACTCTTCAAACGTCTGACAGTTCCACGGTTTGTTGAAAGTGAGTTATGAGGGATGCAACCAAGAGTACAAGAATCAGCGTCTGATTTAGGAGTATGATTTTGTGTCATCTAAATTTATCAGTTGCCTGAATGTTTTGTAGGTTGCCAAAGTGATTTTTTCATCTACCTGGAATACATTGGAGCCCCTGATTAAATATTCTTCAGTTTAAGGGTTTACACTTATTTAGTTTTAAGTTTTAATGATCTAAAACAATATCAGTAATAAATTTCAGCTTTTTAAAATGTTTCTCATTATAGTGTTTAAATATACTGTTCCCCAAAGAAACCTTAATATGGTGGTCTTGCTCTACAGTTGAAATTTGTGAGTAGTATCCCATTGTCCACCTTGCGATGAGCTGATCCCCTCCAAGGAGTCCTTCTGATTGTCCTAGGATTAAGAGACTAAAGTGAAACCAAGCGTTTCACGGGTGCCATATGCTCTGAAATGGGAACAACAGAAAAAGAGAGAGAGAGAGATAGTTCCATTGTCCTCTTTTACCAAGTTCATCACTCGTTTGTATAACCATTTTGACTCTTTAAAGCACAGTGGTTATTAGATGTGCCACTTGCTTTAACATTAAAGAACTCCACATTTTGCCCATAATATTGCATTTATGTGTTTGATATGATTCTTGGAAGAAACGTTAGTTATTTCTCTGAAGAGCTTTAACAGGTGGTCTGTGTAATGGAGATAAGTGCACTTTCTGTGATGATATAAAGTTCTATTTAGATGCCTTTCAGGCTTCAGAGGGTTAAATCCATTTAATCATCTCCACATATATCACATACCTTACAAGAAACACACTGCATCTCCTTTTACAAAACCAGTCAGCTGATGTTGCATAGGGAAATGATCTCTGTTTATTGTGAGAACTGTATGAAATGCATAACTGCATTCTTTTGGGTGAAATACAGTTTTTCAATCGTTAGAGCAGGCGACGTGTATAGGAACCATTCTGTTTTAAGGAGTAAACTTGACATGTATGCAGAGAAATGCTTATTTAAGGTTTTCCTTGGTTTTAACAAATTTGGAGGCTAAATTGAATAGTTTAAGTGGAGAAGATGCAACACTGTAATGATAAGATGGGAGGATAGATACGTAACACTGTAATAATAAAATGGGAAGATAGATATTGAACAGAAAACAAAGGAAAATAAATCAAGGATATACAAGGTGGTTCAAATATGACCGGGACTGATTTAAAAAAAAAAAACATTGCCAAACACTTACTTGCACATATCAGTCTTCGACGTACTCCCCTCCGGAGTCAACACATTTTTTCCAACTTTCTGGAAGCATCCTGATGCCCCCCTAAAAAAAGACTTGTGGTTGGCGGTGTATCCACTCCCGAACAGTCTGGATGACGGTGTCATCCACAAACCACATGCCTTGCAAGTCTGATTTGAGCCTTCCGAATAGGTAGAAATCACTTGGGGCCAAATCGGGACTGTACAGCGGATGTGTCAGAAGGTTCCATTTCAGTTTCCAAAGGGTTTCCATTGTTGTTTTGATTGTATGGGGGCATGCATTGTCTTGAAGGAAGGCTACCCGCTTTCCACCTGTCTTCTGCTTGGATCAGATCTTTTCCTTCACGTCTGTTGCCAGGAGGTCTGAGTAATAAGCTGCATTGACTGTTGTGGCATCTGTCAGAAAGTCTACATGGATAACCTCCTGCCAGTCCCAGAAGAACATTGCCATCACTTTTCCTGCTGAACGGCTCCTCTGCGCGCTCTTGAGTTTGGGAGAACTGATATGCCGCCACTCGCATGATGACTGCTGGGACTTGGGAATGAAGTAGTGCACCCTCGTTTCATCGGTGGTCACTATAGACTTCAAAAATGCACCACCTTCATCTTCAAACTGCTGTAGGAGACAACTGGCAGCTTGCATGTGCACCATTTTGTTCACGTTTGTCAAAGTGCGTGGTACCCACCATGCATTCTCCTTGCGATAGTGCAGGTGGTATTTCATGATGTCTTCTACACTACCAACACTGATGGACAGCATTACTCCAAGTTCCTTGATAGTGATGTGCCTATTTTCACGAATAAGCACATCTGCACGATCAATGTTCGGCTCGGTGATGGATGTTCGCGGCCAACGATCATGCGGTTCATTCTCCATGCGCTCTCTGCCCTCTCTGTAGTACTTACACCACTCAAACACACGGGTCCATGAGAGACACTCTTCCCTATACAGTTGTTGGAGTCTGTGGTGAATTTCAGCGGACAGGACGTTTTCTCCAACAAGGAATTTGATCACAATGTGTTGTTCCACGCTCCGCGGTACCTTCTGTACACTCATCCCTCTAGCAACTCCCAGACAGCACTGAACAGGTTCTAACCCTAACAGGAAGGAGAGTGGAGATTGTGGCTACAATCTCTCAAGGTCGCACAGCTGCTGCACAATGTGGCTTGTTTACAAAAAAATCAGTCCCAGTCATATTTGAACCACCTAGTAAATTGGAAATTGCACTATATGGAGAAACATTTAAAGTGAATATGAATATTTTATGTTGTGTCAGATTTAGAGAAGGGACGTATTTAAAAAAAGGAAAATTGCCCCTTTGCTTAACTAATTAAGCACTATGCCATGAAGATGTGGGAGAGTGTCGGTATAGCTCCATCATTCTTGATCTTGGCACTAGATGAAGATGAGTGGTCAGTTTCACACCCTGGCCAATTTACCCCCAAGGGAAAGAGCCCCCATTACCCATTGATGTGTGAGCCCCAGAGCCAGTATGGACACTTTGGAGAAGAGAAAAATCTTGCCCTTGCCTGGAATTTGAACCCTGGCCATAGGGAAGGAAAATATGCATCCTTAAAATGAGCATTATGAGCTGCTTTAAAATATTAGTTTCTTTTCTCTTGGCTATAATCCAAATTGTTCTCATCTTTTCAGGATCTATGGGCAGTACCATACAGCATGCTTCCGTACCTTTGCCTAACAATGTTACCCTTCCACTGGAAACACAGCATGCATCACTCAAGAGGAAGAAGGAAGCACCACCCCCCCCAACACTGTACTCACCCATACTCGAAAAATCTGAGGTAAAAGGGTCTGAATAGAAGGAAATTCTTATAAATGTACTGCGCTGATACGATGTAGTTGAATTGTTTTGTGGAAAGCTGACTTCTCAGCATGGAAACTGAGGAAAATGTTTTATTTTTGCTTTAGAATTAATTAAACACTATTTATTTAGCATGTAAATTGTATTCTAGTTACGGAAAAGTTTTCACTCAGTTTCCTAAATTTAGTATACAGTATAGTCTAGTCATTGTTCTGCATACACACATTCAGACTGTAATCTGAAATTGTTTATTTTAGATGTTTACAGGTTACGTATTTCAAGAGCAGTATAAGTCTAGTATTTTTCTGCGTTCTCATATGCAGAGTGTGTCCTGAAGTAATTCATTCTAGTTAATCTTGTCACCATGCAGATGGTTTTGTGTAATAAGTCCTTAGCACACCTGTTCATGTACTTGTTAACTAAAGGGTTACTTTTGATTTGTTGCTAGTTTAGGATTACCAGTAATCAGCTTTACTTAAGGAAAAATTAGAAAGAAGTTTATTCCCATGCATGCAAAGTTTAGTTAGAAAACCTGAAAGGAAGAGGGCACTTGAGAAATTTGGGCATAGATAAGAAGAAAATATTAAACTGGAAGTTAAAGAAATAGGGTGTGAACTATACTCATCAGGCATGGTATAGGGTCCGGTTGCAGGATTATAAATAAACAGTCTGGTTATATAAAAAGTGGATAATTTCTTAACTAGTTAAATGACTGTTAGCTTTTCAAGAAGCACTGTGCTGCATGAGATTAGTTAATTAATTCAGTGCATAAATTTCCTTTATTGAAATATTATTGTTAATATTTCCTGTTTTATAAGACTTCATTTTTAAAAAGCCATGTTAAAATTTTAGTTCATAAAATGTATGCCACAGTAGTTAAAGAGTTACTGTGGAAACAAATAAGAAAGCTGCATATCCTTAAAAAATCAATACTTGAAATTATATACATCTGTGTTGCTTTTTAGTATTCAAGTTTTATTTAAAAGAAATACAGTTTAATAGTAACATTTTTTTTTCTCTCTTTGGCTTGTCAGATGCTGTATTCTATTTTATGTATGAAATGTTTATTTGGAATGCATATAATGTTGGCACTGGATTTTATAACCATTCTTCTCACATTTATTAACTATAATAATGCTAAATCTTACTTTTTTTTTTCAGTCTCTCTTGGTGTTATAAATATAATGGAGATCTCATGATACAGGATCATCTGTAGTAGACAGTTATTCATTTAATCATGTAGGAGGTTCTTTGTTGTAATGGAACCAGAAGGTCTGTCATCTTCATTATAAAAGCCTGAGTCCATTCAGATTAAATCTTATGATCCTTTTCTGTACATTGCATTATAATGTTTTCCTTCCAACTATGTCACTTGTCTTGTCACTGCACTAGCCACACGGTTACTTCAAGACTATACCAGAAGCACCATAGACTTATCCATACGTAAATGGTGATTACTGCCACAATATCAGAGGATTAATATTAAATGTACCGTAGGATGTTGTTGTGTGGATGGGATTTAACTGGCTCAGTATAGGGTCCTGTAGGGGTCCTTTGTTAATTGAAGCTTTGAATTAAGTAAAAGCAAAGCATCTCCTTGCCAGTTGAATGACTGTCAGTTACTCAGATGCAGATCCTGTACCATCAGACTGTTTTTGGGTTATGGGAATGTTTCATAAGTTGATAGGCATGAGATTTCTTGAAAGTTACCTCATTTGCATGTTGATATTATTGTAACTCTTCTTGCATGTAAATATCTGTCTTAATAGTTGTTTTCTGTATTATTAAATTAATCATTTGTAGGGACGATCTTGAATGACTTTGTCTACTTCTGTTACCTTGTCAAAGATATTTACACAGGAATTGGGTTTCTGTAGCTGTATTATAAAAATATGTACTAAATATTTTCTTCTGTTTGTGAATGTGTACTCATCCATATAGACTGCTAAGAAAACAGTTTTGTGCTTCAATTTGTCAATAAATGAATGGTCTGGTAAAAGATAAAATAAACTAAAAATAATCAGCAGTTCCCAGCTTGAAGTTCCTTGGGTAACAAACAGAGGGCTGGATGGAGTGTCATGGTGTAATGTAATGACAAACTTCATCTGTACTTAATGAATGTGCTATTCTACTGTGTTACAGAACACAATTTAGCAATAGTATTCTAAAACAAGTATCATGCTTTTGAAAAATTAGCAAATTCATCTGAAGTGACCATATATATTTTTTGTAGTAGTGTTACAATTGTTATTTGAGAACAACACAAGTGTATTCATGAAGTACCAATTATTGCAACATACTGCAATGTAAAATTAGAAACTTTGGCAGATCACTGAAGTGATAATTGGTGAAACTGTATATCATATCTTCAAAATGGTTTGCCTCATCTAAATATCATGTTTATATCAAGACAGGAGTACTTTGTTTTATTCAGTTGTCCCCCCCAAAAAAGAAGCATTCTGTAGGAAACTGAACATACAGTAATCTTGAAATTTCAAGCATGCCATAGACACACTACTTTCTTATTGGTGTCTTTGTAGTGTCTACAACTAATATTACATCTCATGTACATAATTCCATCTTTACCTTTATAAGAACTTCTTATCCTCATGTACCTACCATTTCATACGGTGTTAACATGATACATATACAGTAATGACATTATTTATAATATGGCATACACAATTGTGTGAATATTTGTTTGCTATCATATGAGGTGCATTCAGATTATAAGACCTCCTAATTTATTGAAGAGAGGTGACACTTGGTACAAGAATTAAATTTGCATTGTTATTCAGCACAGCCTCTGAGAAGTTCTGTGCATTTATTGCAGCCTTAAAGGTGGCTGTAAAGCATTGTCTGTGGGTGTGTGTTAGGTATGTGCAAGGATGACTTCCAGTTCAAGACAAAATTGAGAAGAGAATCTGGAAAATTTTCAAGAATAGAGAATACAATGAAAATTCTTTCTAGTAGACCAACTTTTCTACTCTAAAAATTTTATAACTCCAACCACTTTGCAGTGCTGTAAAGTGTATTACCATATTTATCAGAATGGAATATAATTCTGAATCTGATATGCCCCTGCATTAGGAAACATCAGCCAGAAAGAGTAATTTTATGAATTAATTTCATGATTTTCCTACAAATATGTGAACAAATAAATGTTAGAAAACATGTTATGATTAACTTTATTTTAGTTAGTTTCTGTCTTAATAAGCCTTTTTTCACCTTCAGCAGTCTTGCTGTGTTCACTACTCCCATCACCTTTCTCAGCTTCAATGTCTTCACAGTTCCCATCTTCTGTCACACATTAACTGGCTCACACTCTCGTGGGTCATGCTGACATGTTCACTGCCAGCAACCTTTCACCCCTCTGCCCTCCCATCCATTTCATAAGATGTAGAGCACATTTTAAATCCTATGGCTGTCACTTCTGGACAGATCATTGCCATGCTCTTGACTCACCGGCACAGCATTTATACACTGGACATTTTTATTGTCCCAGTGGTGTCGGAACCCGGTCCTCTGCCAAGAACCATTCAGAATACAATTGTTTCAAATGATCTTTAAAAGGCTTGTTCACTAGAACGTGATGTTAAGAAGTAATCCTACCCGCTATGACCATTATCTTTTGTAACAGGAGAACCCTAAGAAATGTCACTTTTAAGGATGATAGTGTCAGAATTTAAGAAAATTGCAGTCAACACATAGCCTGTCTTGATTAATACAGCAAAAATTTCATTTAAAGTTTTTTGTGGGGGGGGGGGTGACCAGTGGATTTGAACACCAAAGTGGGGAAGATCTGAAATTGAGGTAATTTAACAGTGAGGTTAATCACTTGAGATATTGAAGTAGAATGTTAAATGTAGGAAAACCATAAATCAAGAACATTAAATGAGGGTTCCACTGTATATCATTCTCGCATGATTCTGATCCTTCCCTGAAGTTAAGCATTTATTTACACAAAAAGCCTTTAGGCCATAACTCATGCATTTTCTGGTGAACATTGGTGAGACTGTTACTGGTCAGTTGCAAAAATTTGCTGATAATGCTCTGTTCTTGCAGTGAGAAACACACCACATTATGTCAGGCATTTCCAACTTTGAACACTGCCAGTAACATTCTTGTGTGTGTGTAGTGTTCATATCTTATGGAAGGCATGTTGAACCAACAATAAATATTAAAGAGTGACACTATCCATATCATTTTACAAATTTATGCATTAAAAGTTAGGAGGTGTTATACCTTGAATTCACTAGTACATAAAAAAGACAGAGTCTGTTTATAGAATGTCATGCAGTAGGCAGTTCACGTTAATTTACAGAGCATTGGCATTTATTTTACTGTACAAGTCAGTCCTCAATGAGAAGAATGGTATCATGCCACTAATTTAAGAAATTGTTAACTAAAAGCTATTACACCATGATAAAAATCACGAGAGAATCTGGTACCAGGTCTCCTCCTGCAGAATGTCTTGTTCATTCAGCCTGTAAAAATGTGGAAGTGTCAAAGGAAGAAGAAGATTTTACCCACGCATAAATATAATCCAGTCCATTATCAAACTATATAATTTGTAAGTGAACTTTTCTTGCTGTATTGTCCAACTTTTGTTTTCCTGTTCTCCATTTTTATTTTATATTTTCAGTTGCAGCTTAGTCCAGTGCCCCAGACTTTACCAGTGCCTATTCCTTCTTATTACCATGGTTCAGGTAATGACAGTGGCCATGCTAATAACTGTTTCCGCCCCTTGTCACTTCCTGCACCCTCCCACACTGAGGCTGACCCTACTGTCGACACGGAAATTATTGCTGGGTCACTACAGGTTAGTAATTGGTGTTATGATGATGAATACTGGAAGTCAGTATAAGGGCAGATTTTTTTCCCAAATACTTCCCAGAAAATGTAGGGTTTTTGTAACCATGTGTTTTATAGAAGAATTCTTTTTCATGAAAATGCTGGTTAAAAGTAAATTTGATTGTCTCTTGCATAACAAGCTCACTGTAAATAAGGGATCATGGAAACACACATAAAAGACTGACTCATTATTTTACTGATAAGAGAATGATACAGGTTTTGTAAAGAAAGAGACCCTTCCTTATATCCTGGTGTTCTGCCATTCAGTATGCACAAAATTTCAGGCAGACAACTTGATAATACTTGACACAATGCTGAATAAGAGGAACTGTATATTGATGAATATTAAGTTGGGAATCCATTGTATGTGCTTCTGAATGTAAACTGTATGTCATCAGTTTGTTAGAAATATTGCTGGAATATCAACTGCCATTATGATGGACAAGTTTGCATGATCCTTTTCTATCTTTTTGACTGTATACTATCCATGTATGTGAAAGTTCCATGCATAAAGTTTATAGATGTCTCTTCATTGCATCCAGTTTTGCCGTCCTTGTAATTTTCATTTCCTGTCAGTATTATGGGTTCAAGCATAACAGTGATACTTCATTGGTGTTATTTTCATGAAATTGAATTAAAAAAAACAAATTAAATGCAAAATGTCTGTACAGAGGATGTACGTATATTTTCTGTAGGTGGGTGTAGGGCAGAAATATGTCACAATAAATGAAGAATGCACCAGTGAGGTTGAACTGTGTTAGTGTTTTCTTGCTGCATCTTCACTAACATTTCTTTGTAAGGTTTCAAGTGGAGAAGGTCACTTCATGACTGAGGAGGCCACAATTGCATGATAAAATTTACTTTCTACTGTTCACAATATTGCATAAGTTTCTTTTTAGGAAATATGTAAAACTAAAAGGCCCACGTTTTTTTATTTTGTAGCATACTAAAGTGTCCCTGATGTCATCATTTGAGAACTGTTCACTTTGACATCATGTAACTTAAATGTTTTTTACTGATTCTTGAAAACCCTTTCATACGAGATCAGATTTTGATTCAGAATTAGGTGTAGTTACCGTTATTTTGAGCATGTTGATAAATTAGTTTATGTATGCTGTTACAGGCGCACTTTTTTTTTTAATCTGTTGTAACTTTTAATTTCTGTAATGTTGTAATTTGCATTGTCTGATACCTTTATTGATAATCAACATTGCATGTGCAGATACAAGTTAGTCTTTGAAGCTGATGCATATTTAAACCCGCACAGAGCACTGTATGCTGTAAATAGTGTTGTCAGAGACAGACTTTCAGGATTGTTTTAGCTTATATTATCTGTATAGGCATCATGGAGAATTGTGATTTTATTGTGAATTTCAGTCACCACGGCTAGTTCTGAGCCGTGAGAAAAAGCTGCCTTCAGAAAGTGACATAGAGAAATATGCCCAAGATAATCTCAACATCCATAAGAAGGGGATATTCCGCAAAAAGTTTTCTGTGCGTGATATGCTGTCATGGTCAAAGGTAAGGGTGATCAGTGTAGACTTGTTTTAAAGTCTTGATTTATCATATGCTGGTGTAATACTTAAGACTTCTTTCCATAATGTTTATATAAAGTGCGACTTTGTGAAATTGTGGAAGAAAGGGGAGGGAATTATAGTTTCTTTAAAAAGAAGACTTTAAAGTATATTGTAGACTGTAGACCTGTTGCTAGGTAATGGCCCATACACACTCATCAGAGGAATGTATCACATACATGGTGATGCCTCACAACAGTAGAAGAGGTGTTGCAAGTGGCATTCTCTCTGGGTTTGCCCCTTGGCTATATGACTTGATTTCAGTTCAGTTAGTGGAGTGGATGAGTTGGCAGTTCAGTCTTAGTGAGCTGTTTCTGTTAGAAGCCGGTAGCTGAGGCACAGGGATGGTTTGGGAACCTCTGCCATTGGAAGCTCTTACCAGGCAAGGACTGGTGTAGACACAAGTGCATGAAGCGGCGAAACAGTTATGGTACATGTAGTTACAGATCTGTGAGAGTTTGGTAAATCCAATTACCAATCCAAACCCTGTCTGTAGTCACTCATACATGTGATGGTATGTTACCAATGTATGCTTATCTTAAGAATAGCAGTTTGTAATTTGAAACCAAGTAAGCTAGTTCAAGGTAACACTTCTATGTTTTTTGAAGGTGTCTGGTTCATATCTTGACTAGGAAATAGGTTGTCCTCAGTTTTTAATGGTTTTCATTATTCTGTCAGAATGAGTGCCAGGATTGTCCTTCAAAATGAGCCAGAAACATTTTCCCCCCAATGTTTCCAGTTTCTCCAGGTATGATTGTCATATCACGTAATTTGATATGAAATAACATGTTGCAGTTCATAGTAAACTGCAATCCATCCATCCATCTTGTAATTTATAATATAAAGAATTTCAACGCTGACTTCACTTGTGTTATTTTATTTGCTTTATAACATGTTCAATATTTTCACAGGATCCCATACGGAAACCAATGTTGGTCGTATCAGATAAGGCCCTAAAAAAGGATGCCTGTGAACTATTCAAGCTTGTGCAAATATACATGAGTGATCGTAAGGCCAAACTTGGGATGACTCTGAATAGTGTAGCACTTGAAATCTGTAATTATGGCTATTCCAAACCTGGACTTCGGGACGAGCTTTATATCCAGATTTGCAGACAGACCACAGAAAATCCTAGGAGGTAGGTTTTATGTCAGGAGAGGCATCCTTGTTAACTCTTTTGCTACATATTATTTTCTCAGTATGTTCTGCTGAAATAATGCAATTTTAAGGTAAAAGTGCAAAAAAAAATGCATTTTCTTAAGCCAGTGAATGAAGTTGAATGACAGGTTGCTACTTCAGGCATTAATGCCAGTGGTTTACCAATGCTGTTCTTTACTTATAGTAATGGTTAAAATATATGAAGGTGATATTAATGAATTGTATGGTCCGTCATTTATTCTTTATGCTAGCATCTCTTTATAGATGGAAGAATTTATGTGAAAGTAGGTATCATGATTTATTAGGTTTATTAAGATAATTTCATGTGAGATTCACAGTTCTCATGACACTGAGAGTTTAGATTGTCGTCTTCTTGGGTATGACACTGACTTGTAGGTACCCTGACAATGGAGGTAGCAGGTTGCTTCAGCAACCACTTGTAAGACTGTGTGGTGTCACAACCAAGATTATGACCCAAAATAATTCTGGTCTGTTTTTTTTTAATGTAAGGTTCAATATATATATATGTAGGCATCCTGCATTGTGCACATCACATCAAGACTGTAGACAGTATATTTTAATGTCTATAGTAATGTGACAGTATCTAGTGAAAATAGGATAACTGACAGAATGTAAAACAGTTTTGATGGGTAGATGATGCTGCTTGTTGCTGCAAAGCCATTATATCGCATATCAAGGTGTGTCGGCCATAGGTGAAATTTATGATCCTAGAAATGGTACTGCAGTGAGGAACAGTTTCATGGTATATGTTTTAAAATAAACTCACTTCATGTAAGAAGAGTCCTTGATAAGCTGATCAAGAAATTCCTTGCCTTTTATGGAACCTGAAAGCTCATTTACTGCATTCACAAGAGACAAGAGTCATATCAGATGTCCATATTTACGTGTATTTGTTTAGAAAAGATAATTGAGGAACTACTTGAATGGAAAAGTAGTGACTGTGGGGATTCATTGCGCTGACCACACAACACCCTCTATCTGCTAAAATTGGCACTAACTTTGCCGACAAGCTGAGGTCGCTCGGTCAGTATAATTCGCTTGGGGACTAAAGCCACAGAGGGTGGTTTTTTTTTAAAGAAATAATGTGGAGCCTTGGTGCCTCACAGCCCAGCCGACTTCCATGGGTTTTACATTTTTATTTATTTATTATTTACCCTTATGAAGTATAGCAGTGTACATTCTGAAATATTTTGAATTAAATACTGAATTTTATGTATGATGACAAAACAAGTGAAAATAAGAAAACATGCAGATTTGAATTAAAAAAATATTTCCCCACAGTTAGCACAGTTCTCAGCTTGCTTACCAGAGTGCTTTGTAATGCAGTCACGTCAGTACTGACCAACCAGAGCATATTTCAGTCTCATGTCGTTAAACNTTTTTACCCTTATGAAGTATAGCAATGTACATTCTGAAATATGTTGAATTAAATACTGAATTTTATGTATGATGACAAAACAAGTGAACATAAGAAAACATGCAGATTTGAATTAAAAAAATATGTCCCCACAGTTATCACAGTTCTCAGCTTGCTTACCAGAGTGCTTTGGAATGCAGTCACATCAGTACTGACCAACCAGAGCATATTTCAGTCTCATGTCGTTAAACTGTGATGAATATCAAAAACTGTAGTTATGGTGAAAAATATCTCAGTCATGATTATATTTCACTGTATTTTGTATAATGTGTCATATATTTGCATCGATTGTATCAACAGATGAAAGATTATTTTGCAGAAAGAACTAAAATATAATCTCAGTTGCCGCAGTTCATGGTTTCTGCAGCACATTGTTGCAATCATACGTAATCAGAGGAGTCATTTTGCTGATGTTGTGTACAAATTTGAGATACAGAAGAGCTGTAGAAGGGTACTATTTTTTTTTAATTGACTGCATATTTACAATCTGCTACATGAGTGTAGCATTCATCCTCCGATGAATCCCCTATCGGTCTTGTAGATGGATAATATTGGTTTCCGTGTCTTCAGCGGGTTCGGGGAGGTCAGTAGTCCATTGTCATTTTAGTCTCCTTGGCACCTTTGGCGGAGTATTCAGGGCCACTATGAGTTTGTTGCTATGTCCATCTAGTCGTGCGCTGTATAGTCTCGAAAGTCTGCGAATCTTGTCATTGACGAAAGGAGTTTGGAGGTCGTTGTGAAGAGATAAGTTGGACACATACCAGGGTGCATCTGCGATTACTCGTAGGATTTTTTACTGTATTCTCTGTATGATTTTTGTATGTGACGGTTTAGCACAACCCCACAGCTGGATCCCGTAGGTCCTTATTGGTTTAATAATGCATTTGTATAGGAGTAGTTTATTGTTCATGGATAGTTTAGATTTTTGTCCCAGGAGCCAAGACATTTCCTTTAGTTTTAGGTTTATCTGCTGTCGTTTGGTTTTAATATGCTTATGCCATGTCAATTTCTAGTCTAGGTGTAGACCTAGATATTTCTCTTCGTTTTTAACTGGTATGGGAATGTTGTTTATCGAGACCTGTGGGCATACTATTCATCTTGTTGTGAAAGTAATGTGGACCGATTTGTTCTGGTTTATGTTGATCTGCCAGTTGTAAAACCAGTGCTGTAGAAGATTTAGGTGTTGTTGGAGATTTTCCGAGGCTATTATTGGATTGTTACTTGTTGCTAGGATTGCGGTGTCGTCCGCAAATGTAGCCGCTGTTGTTTTGGTTGTTGTCGGGAGATCTGCAGTATATATTAGGTATAGTAAGGGGCCCAGAACACTGCCCTGTGGTACTCCTGATTGTATCCGGTGGTATTGTGAATAGTCACGGTTGTATTTGACTTGGAAATGACTTTCCGTTAGATAGGACTTTAGTATGAGATAGTACGGGCCAGGAAGAGCCTTCTTGATCTTGTATAGCAGACCAGCATGCCAGACCTTATTGAAGGCCTGGGCAACATCCAGAAACATGGCTGTGCATAGCTTTTTTTCCTCAAGGCTGGCTGCTATTGTGTTTACGATTCTGTGGGACTGCTGTATTGTTGAGTGCTTCTTCCTGAAGCCAAATTGGTAATCAGGAATGATAGTGGATAAGTCTACATCTTTTTGGAGTTTGGTTAGTTAGTTAGTTATTTAGAGAGTTTGGGTTTCCCCATGCACCGCGACCAGTTTGATCTATTGTGCTTCCCTCTATGATATTCTATCAGTCTCTTTACCCTACCGATAAATGGTGCATACCATCAGTCCCGCCGAGCAAGCGAGTTCGGCCACTTGCTTAGCGGTGGCTATAATGCTCCCCCCATCTATCAGAGGCCTTAGAGGCTATTGTTGGGCGGGAAATGTCCTGGAATTTGGCTCAGTGATCCCCTTTGGGGATATGAGGTTCTTTTACGTGCCGCAAAGTTACGACACGGCACACACAGCTTAAAGTCCCTCCTGGAGGACTTGTTCCCTGAATTTTTCTGCCCTTAAAAATTCGACGACCTCCGCCGGGTATTTGAACCCGCGTACCACGAGTCATGAGGTGGGAACGTTACCTCTAGACTACGGAGGCCACTTGGAGTTTGGTTAGTAGCAGTCATTCAAATATTTTTGATGAGATTGATAAGAGGCTGATTGGGCGGTATGAGCTTGTTTCATTAGGTGGTTTGCCGTGTTTGTGGATCATTATGATCTGCACAATTTTCCATGTGGGCTGAAAGTGCGACAGTCTAATCATACCGTTGAAGATGATTGTTAGGAGCACTATCGCTTTTCGTGGGAGCTGTTTAAGTATGGTTGCTGTGATGAGCTCATAACCGGGTGCTTTGTGCTCATTTAGGTTTTCGATTTCCCGTTGTGTCTCTCCTGGAGTGAACAGTTTGATTGGTGGTGCCATTTGGCAAGGCACGTCTAGGAAGTTTATTATTTCATCTTCATTGCCACTGATACTTGGGAGGGGTGAGAACACTTGTTTGAGGTGGTCAGCAAATGTTGTCGCCTTTTCGGGGTCACTTTTCACCCATGTGCCATTGGCTTTTCTTACTGGTGGTATTGCAGTTTGTGGTCTCTTGAACTTTTTTGTGGCTTTCCAGATGGTATGATCTTCTTTGTTGAGGGATGTGATGTAACGTTCGAAGGTGTTGTTCCTCATTTTGGTTAGCGCTCTGTGTAGTTTTCACCTCAATCAGTTGTAGGTAAGCCAGTCTTCAGTATTTCTCGATCTCTGCCATCTGCCCCGCGCTTGTCATTTTATAAAAACCAGCTCTCTGATGGAGACTGGGATGTTGTTTGATTCGTTGTTTCGTTTATTGGCTATGGTTGGGGTTGAGTACCATCCTGCCACTTGTATTGTGGTAGTGAAATGTTGTGTGGATTCGTCTAGTTTTTGAGGTTCTTTGATTCTTAGATTTAGGTTGATGTGTTCATCGATGTACGTGCAAAAGTTATCCCAGTTGGTTTGTTTTGTACTGAGTATTGGCATGCTGGGGTTGTTTATTTGGTATCTGCTTAGTGTTGCTATCACTGGGGTGTGGTCAGACGATAGTTAGAAATTTGATTCGACTTGGATGTAGCTGGCTGTTGTGCCATGGAGGACAAAGAAGTCTAGTAGGTCGGGTATTTTGTTAGGGTCGGATGGCCAGTACGTCGGTTCTCTGGTACTGATATGTTTGCAGTTGTTAGCGTGTATGGCCTGAAGTAGGTTTCTACCTTTTGGCGTTGTTAGCCTCGCTCCCCAGTCTATGTGTTTTGAGTTCCAGTCACCACCTATGAGGAATCGAGTTCCTTGCGATTGGAGGAAAGTGGTGTATTACTGGTAGAGATTGGATGTCTCGGCGGGCAGTAAATCACGGTTACAGTAAATGGCCATGGCTTTGCAGTGACTCGTATGTTAGCGGCTTGTATTTTGTTGGTTTGATAGTGCACAAGTTCGTGGTGAGGTATCGCGTTTCTGACGATCACGGCTGCGCCCCCGTGAGCTGTGTCGTCTGGGTGATGAATGTGATATATCTTGTAGGTAGGGATCTTGAGTACAGTTTTGCTGGTGAAGTGCGTTTCTGATATAAGGGCAATGTCTATTTTGTGCATGCTAAGGAATGTTTGTAGTTCCATTTTATGATTGGATAGCCCAGACTGCCAATCGTAGTGGGTTCTGAATTAGTTAGCAATTTTATTGATGACTGTGCTGAGCATGTTAATTATCATGCTGTTTTGACTGATTAATTGGTTAAACATGGCTTTGAATTCGTTTAGGAATGCGGAAAGTTGTTCGGTTACGTTGGGTGGTTGTTGATTTTGTGTGACTACCTGAGGGTAGTGGGTTGGTGCAATTGTATTGGGACAACATTTATGTTATCGCCGTTGTTGTTGTTGTTGTTTAACACTTGTTGTTGGGTGGCAGGTTAAGAGGGGAATTAGTTCAGTTCGGTCGTGTTGATGATTGGGTTTGGTTTGTGTGTAGCGGTGAGTTTCGATTAATGTGCTCCGCCTTCTTGCGTTTTGTAGGTTTTTGTACATGTTACATCCTTTGNGTGGCCATGGTTTTATAGTTCTTCTTTTATTTGTTCTGTGGGTATTGTATGGGGCAGGTTTCGCAGGACAATACGATAAGCCCTTTCGTCTCTGATTTGATAGGTGTGATGCATGATCTTGTCTTCCTGGATTTTCCTAATTAGTTTCCTGTAGGTGTCTGCAGTGTTAGTGTTGATTTTGATTGTTTCTTTGGGGAGTGCTTTGCAATAATACTGCTCTTCTTCAATGACTTCGCTTATATATTTAATCATTTCTCTAATTTGTCACCCCATATATGTAGAGGGTACTATGAATTAATTTAATTTAACTTCTGAAAGTCAGATAGTATGCTTACTGAAGTTATGAATTATGTATGGCATATTTTCAACATTGGAGTTTCATAAGCATTATATGACAACAATTTTCAAATCTTTCTGCTTTCTATAGGGAAAGTCTTCGTCGAGGCTGGGAATTGCTGGCAATTTGCCTGGCCTTCTTTCCTCCTTCCCCCAAATTTCAGTCTTACTTGGATGGCTATATGAACAGACATAGGGATCCAGGATTTGACTTCCCTGAGGTTGGTAAATGGCCAATCCATGTACAGATTAGCCATTATGCAACAGTAAGCTGTAAAAGGCTGGAGAGGATAGGACACACTGGGAAGAAAGCCCCTCGTAAGCCTACAGTAGAAGAGATAGATCAAGCCAGGGTAAGTTATTTACAATATATATTTGGTATTGCACAAGTCTGTATTTTTAATTACATAATTTTTCAGAAAAAAAATATTATTTTAAAAGAGTTCTTTCTTCTGGGTTATAATGCCATGTAGTCCATTGAAAGCCAACTGATGTTACAGAGGAACATTGGACCTCCATCTTCAGGATTGAAGAGTAAGCCAAGCAAGAAACCAGCATGAAACACACAGCAAGCAAACCCTGAAGTTGGAGGTAGCATGTTCCTGCACATGGCATTATATCCCAGAAGATGAAAATCTTCATAACTCTTGCTGCTGTGAGAATCTCAAATGCTGCGTAACTATAAATGATAAAAACCTGTACAGATTTGAGCAACGAAAAGTATCTGAAATCTCAAGTAAGTCTGATAGTCAGTTCAGTGGCACTCAAAATTAGAATTGGTTTAAAATGTTTTATTTCCAACATTATAGGATATAAATATGAAAAAGATGAAGAACCCCAACATACATTCTCATATACATTAGGATGATTTATTGCATTATCAGAATTCTGATAATTTGGTTAATATTTGCTCCTACACAGCTAATTGCTGACTGGTGTAGTTTTCTTTACTAAAGGATTAACAAGTTAAATTACTTGCCTGAATAAACTTTGACTTGTATGTGCTGAACATTTTCTAATAGTTTGTGGTGATGGTACATTGGTACAAATCATATGTTTCCAGATATTCTCCAGCATCATGTTTGTATCTAAAACACCATCTTGTATATACTTCAGAATGTTTTGGAGACTGGATTCTGTCTCTGTCTTCAGGTAAAACCTACTCAGTTTGGGCCCAATTGACAAGAGTCCTTATCCCTGGACACCTATACCAGCACCAAGATGGGGTATACAAGCCAAGCACAGCAGAAATCAACTATCATGATAGCTTAATGGTGCAAGGCCTCACGCGTCTAGAGTTTTTGGTGTTTTGTCTTAGCTCTCGCAGATGGTTTTGTGCTGTGCTTGGCTTGTATACCCTATCATGGTGTTGGTACAGGTGTCTGGAGTTAGGAACTAGCTCTATTGATTGGCCCCAACTGAGTAGGTTTTACATGAAGATGGAGACAGAATCCAGGCTCCAGTTTTCTGCTGAGCAGAAAGAATGTACAGTAGAACTTGGTTATAACGTCATTAAAGGGACCTAGAAATAGTGTCGTTATAAACGAATGTCGTAACTGAAATGGGCACTTCAACAGTAGCCTTATGTTAGTCACGTAAAAATCTACCAAAAACCGAGTTAAAATGTTGCATTTTTAGTGAAATACATAGTTAAGTACAGACTAACGTAACATTAACGTGAAATTGCCCAAATGTGTAATATCAAAGACATATTACAGCGCTTTTCACTGACAATACACACAATATTTCATGAATCACTTTAACTTTCTCTTCAATGCTTAAAACTTTCCTTTTCATTGCCATGTTTTCGCTACTGCACTTCTCTGGGTTTGGGCAGGAACACAATAGGGTAAGTAGACAATGTGAGGTCCTGTTAGACGAGATTCTAGGAAAGGAATGCAGTTAACAACCTGCCGCGTCCTCTTGCACTATTCACGCAGTCCCACCCCACACCCTTGTTTTCGCATAAAACCCACGCTCCTCTTGCAGCCCGCGGTCGTATTCTTCCAGGACAGTCACGTCAGCAAGTAGAGAACGTGAGGGTGGGCAGACACATCGAACTTTCCCACGATATCAGAGAAATTCAGGAATGAAAATGACGTTACATACGAGGTTGATGCATTTGTGCATGTCGTACTAAGCAAGGTATAAAACCAGTTGCTTTATGAGGAGTTAGTTCGTACCATTGAATATTTGACGCAATAGACAAGGTGTCGCAGAAAGCGATGTTGCTATAACCAAGTTTTACTGTATATGTAGTCTATGAGGTAAGTCAGTAAGTAAGTAAATTACAAATGGAAATAGAACTTAAACAAATAAGAGTACTGATTTGATAAAATGCTTTTATTTCTCAATATAATTTCCCTGTACACTGAGGCATTTGTCCCATTTTTTCACAAGCCCCTGAAAACCAGCAGCATAAAATTCTTTGGGCTGCTGTCGGAATCAGGCATGTTCACATGGCATGGCCTACCTCTTAATGCATGACAGGTTAGGTTTTCACAAAGCCTGTGCACTATGGGTGCCACGCATGCTGACCCCACAACATAAAATGCAAAGAATGGGTCTGGCATTACAGCATCTCAATCACTACCACAATGAAGGACACAGTATGCTAGCCCGAATTGTCACAGGTGATGAGTCTTGGGTTCACCATTACCAGCCTGAGACAAAGTGTGCATCAGTGCAGTGGAAGCATCCTGCGTCGCCTGCCAAAAAAAAGTTTAATGTGACACCATCCTCCAGGAAAGTGATGCTCACAGTCTTCTGGGATCACGAAGGCATACCGCTCACCGCATTCCAGCCTCAAGGACAAACCGTAAATGCTGACTCCTACTGTAACATCCTCAGGAAACTTTGTAAGGCCATTCAACGGAAGCATGCAACCTGTCATGCATTATGAGGTAGTCCGCGCCGTGTGAACATGCCTGGTTCCGACAGCAGCCCAAAGAATTTTATGCTGCTGGTTTTCAGGGGCATGTGAAATAATGGGACAAGTGCCTCAGTGTACAGGGAGATTATGTTGAGAAATAAAAGCATTTTTCAAATCAGTATTCTTATTTGTTTAAGTTCTATATTCATTTGTAACTTACTTATTGATTTACCTACGTATAAAATGTGTAGCCTAGTAAAATCTATTAAATTACTTTTCTGTACCATATATCACTGGTACCAAACAACCTGTGGGGGCATGCCAGTACTATTTTAAGATAAAAATTGAAATACTTTGTTAAGCATGGGCAATATTCCTTACAATCTTTTGATCTCAGTTGTATGTTCTTTCTAATGTACAATATGGAACAAAACTCTAAAACCACAGGTTGTGATATGTATAGTTAACATCGTACTTTGTTGGTAATTGTTATCTCATCAATGATACAGAGTTTACAGCATGCAAGAAGGAAAAAACTAGACACTCCATTCAAAATTATGCTATAAAACAAAAAATAGCCATTATGGTTCACCATGTACATCCCTCTAAAACATTCTTAATCCACTCCCCGAGCATGTAATGTATTCATATTCAGTGTGTAACATATTTGTACACATATTAAAAGGCTTAGGTTTGTGAAGGCTTGCAAGACATATGTATACATGCCAGTGGTTATGTATGCAGGGTGTTCTACTACATGTTGATGAGGCTTCAGAACCCTGTCCTGCAGGTAATTTGGAGCAAAAAAATATGTAAAAAGCTATAGGTCAGATTGACACTGAATAAGAAACGTATTTTTGTCTGACATTCGATATCATTAGGGCCCAGGTTTTTATGACCTAAAAACTATAAATATATTGTAACGTGTTTCGTTACCGAAGACGCCGTAGAGATGGTTAACTGGTTTATTTAACGATCTACAAATAACGGCTACAATTAATTATCTCACAGTTGCGGGGTTTCACACTTTATAACCCTAAGCGCATTAATCTGTTAACACTGTTGCGGGGTTTCACGACTTATAACCCTACGCGCAAATCAGCTCACTCTGTCTTCAGCAGTCTACACGTTTACAATAGGGGAGCTAGGTATCACTGTATCACACGCTCCCAATTACACAATCGCACACACGTCCGGATCTTCTTACCG